AGGAGAAGGGGTGGGGTGAGAAATTTGCGCTCATTGAATTATGATCACTAGCAATGCAAAGCTTGCTTATAGGTCCCCAATCGAAATAATTAAAAAATTTCTGAGGATTCCTACTTATCAAGTCTGGGCGTTATTCATAGCTTTCTTTGTTTTTTCAATTTTTTTTATTTTTCAAATGCATTCCCATTGCATGCACAGCAATGCTCCCCCCCTATCCGAGAATGGATCGCGAAGTTTTTGAAAGTTACTTAACCTTTGTTTCAACTGGCTTGGCGACTGGAAGGGGGGGGGAGGCTTCCTGACCTAGTTAAGGCTAGATAACGACCAGAGAGCACGCGTGCAAGAGAGGCGCACACTGTGTCGCGGGCGCGAGCGCCATTAGATCACAGAGCCCCGCCTTCCAGCAGTCAAGCCTGTTGAATCAAGGGTTATATGCGTTTTAAAAATGTGCAAGTAACTCGTTTATGCTTCTAAATTATCAAAGTAAATTCAAACTAATCATCAGATTAACTCCGTCGAAAAACCTTCTGGGAACGTAGCGACAGCCACGCGCACATTCTTCAGAATCTTGGAGTTGTAGAGCCGCAAAGAAATTGGGAAGCATCCCAACTTTTTTCGGAGTGGCTAGCACCACGCACCTTCACTCCAAAAATTTTTTGCTCCTCCTCCCTCCCCCCCCCCCCCCCTCCTCCTCGGACGGAAATCCTCCGACAGCCACTGCTGCTGTACAGCACAGTAAAATTGAAGACTCTAGCAAAAGTTGTTTTTCTTTATCGACACTAATGAGCCGATAATCCTAAAGGAGCTGGATTTGCATCCGCGCGCTTCGGGACCACATTGCGGTTCCAGTCTAATGTTTTTTGAATTGGCGTTTCAATTCTTTATGTGTTAGATATGTTAGCTGAACAAACACTTTTTTTACTGAGATTTTTCCCATAATAATCACTGAGTTTTATGATACGGGTACGATCAGAACTTTTGCAATAACTTTCACCCACCCTCTTCTCCCATCTTGAGGGCATGATTCGGACTGAAAATATTAGGCTGTAAAGAAAGTTCCCGGGCACTTTTGGAAATTTCATTTTCAAACGCATTTTTTTGACGCTCAGTCGGACTTTGACGCCAAGTTTTTTATACTATTCAGTAGAGGGAATCCTGAAGCTTTCAATAAAATTTCAATCGACGCGTTTGATCTGCACATCAAGAAGGGAAATCTTTTCAACCACAAAAATTCCACAGTTTTTCTTTTTACGGCCTTTTTTTGTGCAGTTCAAAGAATTTGGTCCAAATCATGGGTGATCTGATTGGAAAGCCTGTAAACTTCTTACCTGCAACTGCAAAGGAGTTTTGCGATTTGCGCTTAAAAATTACAAGCTGTCGAACCTGCCTCTGTCTGTAACTCTTTTCACAGCTGGCGTCTATTCTACGGGGATCGCCACGCCTGGATGATGGGTCCAAAAGATGTGCAGGGCATTACCGCAGCAAGTTGCCAGGAATCAAAGATTTGGTCCTTTCTGTGCAGAACTAGAACACTTCAAAGTCATTTACTCGAAAAATGGTGCATTTTTGGAGGCAAAAAATGGTCGATTTTTCAATTTTTTTGGGAAAAATTTTTTTGCAGCTGGTCCTTTAGAAACATGAATGGTCCCCATAACAGCCCCAGCAGACCTCTATGTAGCTACAGCATCTGGGCTTTCCACTTCTCATCCTGCCTGAGATAACCCTGCACAAATAGGCCACTTTTCGCAACGACGACCTTTTTTCCTTCTGCGCATGTCGGTGGACCGCATTGAAGTGCTCAGAAGCCAGCAAGACAAATATATGTTGTGGACAAAATTGTCTTTGCAATGAAGTTTGTGGCTTGAAAAAAGAATCAATCTGCTTGAAGTTACAGCGATTTGAAAAATAATTTCGCAAGTGCCCGGAAACTTTCTTTACAACCTAATAAATACCACTGTTTCATACCTTTTGTTAAATACTTTTCTCAGAAGTTCCGTCCCGAGCTCAGTGAATGTATTTTTGTTATTACTATTAGGTTGTCCGGAAATTAATGCCCGTTTTGAATTTCAACCTCAATAAGTCATACACTTCTCACTTCTAAATAGGTTGCAAAGTACCATTCGATAGAGCAGAGCAAGCTCTACAAGATGGCTGTCTTGATTTAGCAGCAGCTCTGATCTACCTCGAGTTTCGACCCAAAAACTAAAAAGATTCAATTGCCCGAAAAATGGAAAAAAATCGCAACTTAGTTCATAAAAATCTTACAAAAATTCTAACTTGCTCACGTAAACACTATCCACATAAGACATCTATATACGCCTTTGCCGTGTTTTTTCCTCTGTTAGAAATGAAGAAAACGGAAATTTTGGTGCATTTGCCAAAGTGATGCTGTGCCATCCCCACATAGGTACATAGTTGTATACCACAAGCCTATAGAAGTACAGACCTAGATTTTCAGCTCTCTAAAAGCTTTAGTTCTCGAAAAATTTGAATTTTAGCTTGGAGCACCTAACTAGGGAAAGCTATATTCGGTATTTCTCGAGAACTAAAGCTTGTAGAGAGCTGAAAATTTAGGTCTGTACTTCTACAGGCTTGTGGTATACAACTACCTATGTGGGGATGGCACAGCATCACTTTGGCAAGTGCACGAAAATTTCCGTTTTGTTGATTTCTAATGGAGGAAAAAATACGGCAAAGGCGTATATAGATGTCTTATGTGGATAGTGTTTACGTGAGCAAGTTAGAATTTTTGCAAGATTTTTATGAACTAAGTTGCGATTTTTTTCCATTTTTCGGGCAATTGAATCTTTTTAGTTTTTGGGTCGAAACTCGAGGGAGATCAGAGCTGCTGCTAAATCAAGACAGCCATCTTGTACAGCTTGCTTTGCTCCATCGAATGGTACTTTGCAACCTATCTAGAAATGAGAAGTGTATGACTTATTGAGGTTGAAATTCAAAACGGGCATTAATTTCCGGACAACCTAATAATTTCGCGCATCAAGTTGATCAGGCATTTTCACACAAAAATAATTTCATAGTTGCCATAGTTCCAGAGCTTTTTGCTTTTGTTATTCCGTAAACATTTTGTCGTTGGCATTTGATTTTCCTGGCATCAGCGTTTAAAGAGAGTGATTAAATTGAGCAGTATATTTCCTCAGACACACTTTATATAGATTTTTGAATAATAAAAGACTTGGAAAGGCCATACGTGGTCACGTTTCTCTTATGCTCAAACTATCTTTATTCTCATTTACAAAAACTTCACAGTGATACTGAAAGAGGTTTTTGACTTGTCAAGCATGTTAGGTTTGCCTAAAACCAAATTCTTTGCATTTCATAGGCAGGGCATACATCACGCGATTTCATCGCCTCGCAATTCTTTCAACAGGACAACTGTCACGAGTTCATTGCATGCATGTCATCTTGTTTCGATTGTGATAGTTTTCTGACGCGACTAATCGCTACTAACTAGTTGGGAGATTCGCGAGGCGATTGAATCGCCTAATGTATGCCCTGCCCATGAATTGCAAAGAATTAGATTTTAGGCAAACCTAACATGTTTGACAAGTCGATTAGACAAGTCGAAACCTCCATTATTTAGAGTTTGCGGAAAAAATGCTTAAGTCTTTTATACTACGTTATCATAGGTAAGTTAAGCTATAGGCTCTATCAGGCTTATCTTATGGCTCCAAACAGCCAGCTTTCTGGATGTCTGCCAAAATTCCACAAATCATCAACAAGAGCGAGTGCCTGTCGATAACTTTTAATTTCCTACCCTTCGTATCTTTATGCGAGCTATAGCATGTAAAATATCCACTGTGCACTCGACTGTGTAGCTCAGTTGTCTGCCAAGGTTACTTACTTCCGGTGGACTTCACATATAGCGGTAGTGCAACAGTAAGCTCATCTCCGTAATGCCGATTTCTGCGGACACTGGTAACGACGCCGCGACTAGCAAGATTAGAGGCGGCATTCGTCGGCCTGGTCCCGCAGCATATATTAGGTTCACATAAGTTTTGCAACGTTTCCTATAACTTTTTTCTTACTTACTGTAGCACTCTCATTCTCTGGTATCATGTAGAGCGTGACGTAATCTGCAAGCCTGCGCAAACTATTTAACTTATGATAACGTACTATGAAAAATTTGAGCATTTCTCAAAAACTCTAAAAAATCGAGCTTTCATGGTTTTTTGGCAATCATGAAGCCGTACAAAACCTAATCAAACATGTCAAAAAGGAATCATAGGCAGCATGTAGCTGGAAGTCGACTCATTCGAATCAGCAAAAAAAGAAGTGAAATTCAAAGACAAACTAATATAAGGCGCCCTCAAGAAGTAGAACAAGTCAAATGCGTCAAGTTTTGAAAATCTGTCAGTAACTAAGCTTGTAAGGGATGTTACCCTCTAAGCCAGCAAAGAACAAGGGCGACAGAAAATGTTTATTAGAAAACAAAAAAAAACAAAACAAGACGAAAATTAAATCGAGATCTGGCCTGCGGCCTCCCTGCCTTTCGATAGCGCGCCTTCAATCACCTTTGATCTAATTCGGTATTCGCTTCGGTGGCCATGGGCCTGACACGCCCTCCCCGCCTAGAGACATCGCCCTCGATGTCCTGATACGCGGTCTGTTAACGTCTAATTCGGGCAGGAAAGCATCCACTGCTCGTCTTCCGATACGTTCGTAAATATACTTATTCATGGCGGTTCCCACATAGCTATTGAAGAACTGCGCGCCTCCTTCCGGGGCTCCTGCCTTTAAAAACAGCTTCCCTCACCCCGAAGTTGCTCGCTGTAGTGAAGACTCGCCTCCCTTTGTCGCACTGTACCAGCGTCTCGTCAAAAGTCTTCCATTATTCCGATAATTCACGCCACAAATCATGATTCTTCTACGTTATCGGTGGCCATGCAGTGACTGTTTTTCCGTCATCAAGGTATTTCTTTGCTGCTACCATCATCTTCTGCGGAATATCATCGGCTGGATTACTATCCAGTGGCCACCTATTACTCAGGCTTTGTATGTGCTCCATTTTTTAAATACGTCAAACAATCTAGCAACGTCGTTGCTACTTTTGTAGCCACTCTTCCTCGAATGCCATCTCTCTCTATGAGGCTTCCTCCCTCAAAAGTAGCGTATCCAACTGGTCCTGACTTGGTGGGTAGCTCCTTCATGGACAGACCCTCAATCTCTCGACGAAATGCTTGCAATCCTTCGTTGTAGGATCTCTCAATGGAATGTCCTTCGATCCTGGCGTGCTTCGTAATCGCGTCTGTGTTGCAAAGAAAGTCTGTCCATTCGATGCAGGTGTCGTATGCGAGCTTCAAGACGGCTTTCAGGGCTTCCGCGTCGGAACATATGTGTCCCTTTCGATGGAACTTGATTTTCGTTCCTATATCGATATCCCTTCGGCTGAAGATACTGCAAGCTAGCCAAGCGGACCATAGATTTTCGATGCGTTCCTTTGCCACTGCACCCGGGAAGCTGATTCCTTCGATATCTCCAAGCTTTCGATCCTAACAGTCGTCTCCGCATTTGAAAAGCAGATGTGCTTTTTCAACTGAACTCAGCAGCGATACACCTCTGAAATTAATAACTTTGATTTGCATACCTTGCTCAATAAAACTCTCCTTTTTTTGCTCCTTTTCCCTTTCATTGTGTGGGTGTCGACTCTGTCATTAGGTACTATGTAACTTGGTACTACTTTCAGCTTATCGAACTATATCCGCATAGGATCCGTATTCTCTTCTATGCGCGTTATTAGGGCTGAATTATTGCTAGTATTTAGAACTATGGGCCAGCCCAATCCAAAATAAGTTTTGGATAAGTGTTTTTGCCTTTTTCACTTGGTGCCAAGGCGTATACCCGGTCTCCTACTTTAGGATGCCGGCCTGGGTTCACCTTGTTCTTGTTGTCATAACTTCTTTTCATGCTTTCTCTAACTCTATCATTGTATCCTTTTACTCTTTCCCTTTCGATTGGTTGTCCTATCCGTTTAGTGCCTCTCTCTGTGCTTTCATTGATGGCGACTTTGCAGCTTCGTATATGATTTTGATGATCTCAGACACATCGTTTCCATCTGAGGGCTGCGCGACTCTCGCACTGTTCTGCTTTCGTGGGCAATCTCTTGCAAAATGACCTGTTTGGATTGAAGCATCTGGGATCCGTCCTTTGTTTCGAGGTCCCTGCATGCGCGTTCCTTTCTTCTGCGGTTTGCATTCTCCTGCCTTCTCAGACAATCGCGGGGGGCAGGCGGGCACCGGAAAATACGCGTTGCTGAAATCTCGCATTCCGCCCGCAAATTCCAGGAGAATGGTCAGCGGATTTTTGCAAGACCGCCTGCTGAGTCTTTTTTCGCTCTTATCTTTTGCAGATATATTGCTGAATCTCTGAGCAATCGAGAACTCAGCAGCGGCGTTCCGAAATATCTGATTGCCTTCCAAAAAATCCGCGAGCGGGGTGCGAGAAATCAGCCATCTATTTTTCCGGTGCCCGCCTGCTCCCGGCGATTGTCTGAGTTGTTGGGTGTACTGGACGTCCGATGTGCTTGATCGCCTCTTTACCCTTACATAGTTTACTGCTTTATGTACTTGTGATTCTTTCCAGCCACCCGTCTTGTTCGCAACGATGCGCGGCTTCCTTTCCCAGATTTCTTTTGCTCTCTGTATACTAATCGCCAGTTGCTTCACTTCGCTATATACTTTGCTAGGCGGTACCCTATGTAACGCTGCTACTGACTGAACGTATTCGGGCCAATCCCTCAAGTTATCCAGAAGGATCTCGGCGTACTCCACCGAGTTTCCTTCCATGGCTCTGTCTGGATGAGCCGATCAACCTATCTTCTCCAAGGCAACGCAGAATTCTGCGACATCGTGGTATGGTCTGATCCTCAGAGACCTCAGCTTAGCCATGGCCCTCATCCTGCTAGCTACCGAATCTCCTGCTAGCAATTTTCCCAATTCTTCAATCAATTCATCAAACCCCTTATTTCTTATGGTGGGTGCTAATGTCTTCATTACATTCTTTGCCTGCCCACCTAAGTGATTGTCACTTAGAATATCTACAAGGGTGTCTGTGTCTGTGATTATTTTAGCATACTTTCTCTTGAATTTTCTTACAAATTCCCCGAAATTTTCGTCGGGCTTCGCATAAAAAACACCCGGATCCGGTCAAGAGAGTGATTGAACATAATCTAGAAATCGCAAATCATTTTGCTGACCTCTTAGTTCCACGTCTCTGTCCCTTGAATGCAAACTGGGTGATCCCGACACAAAGTTGTTCAAGTTTTGTTCGAACAGCGCTCCAGTCCGCCTTGGATTGTACTGCTGGAGCTGCAAAGTATCTCTTTGATAAGCAGTCTTTTCTATGCCTACTACAGTTTGCATCGACTCATCCTGCTTGATTCCGCTTCGCCTCCCTTCTTTTTGAGGTTTGAATGGCTGCCGGCATTTGAAGCACATGAGTATTTAGCATATTGCATGCTTGTGCCAGAATCTCCCTGTTTCTCTTAGCCACCCTTACAAACTCTCTCCAGTCCTCAACTGATTTGTATACCTAATGTTTTCATGGCTTCGGACATACGGTCCCGTTCATCCTCTATACTACAGCACTGTTCTGCCACTTCATTTAGTTCCCCACTCAACTCCCTTACTTTCTCTCTTACGAACGTTTCGTACTTTTCCTTGCACCTGGCTGAAATTCTGTGCTTCGTCATCTCACTTGATATCTCTCCAGGTACTCTTTTCAGATCCTTTCTTAGCCTCTCAATCCTTCTCTCTATGCTATCATAGAAACTCACATTCTCTGTGTCCATGTGCTCCTCCGACGCTTGAGCTTCTTTGCTCGCTTCAATTCGCTTTTTGCAAAAACTACTCTCGTTGTGTTCTCCCCTCCACAACAACGACGAATTCGAAATTCGCCCTTACATGCGGCGAAAATTAACTAATTTGCAGACAACGGCTCGGCCCTCATGTAAAGGATATTACCCTCTAAGCGAGCAAAGAACAAGGACGACAGAAAACGTTTATTAGAAAACAAAAAAAAACGAAACAAGACGGACGCCACTGTTCCGTGGCGTCTGAACAACAAACAATAAAATCGAGATCTGGCCTGCGGCCTCCCTGCCGTTCGATAGCGCGCCTTCGATCACCTTTGATCTAAATCGGTCTTCGCTTCGGTGGCCATAAGCCTGACAAGCCGCAAAACCTCAGAATTCGCTGAATCTTTGCAAATAGGGAAATTCAATACGGTGAACACGAATATCATACTCATTTGCTAAGATAAAATTTATTCCATAACCTTACGAATGAGGCCTTTTCATACGAAACGGTCTCATTTTTGTAATCAGCATGTCGAATAGCCCCGAATAGCCTCTGTCGAATAAGCCAAGTTCCAGCGAAATCTGACGCAATCGAGAATTTTTCCAATTGTAACGTAGACTTACCGTAACCTTTACATGAAATGCAAAATTTGGCAAAAATGTCCGCAGTTGCAGTTTACATCATAATCCTTATATCACCAGAATGTGAACGCGCTACCTCCAAAAAGACAAAGGTTATATAAAAAGTTGCATTACTTATGTACCAACCTAATAAGATTGAAAATAATAAACTAAGAAAGTAATGTTAGTGACCGCGAAAATTTCCGTCAACTTTACTCCTTGTTCTAAAATTATACCGTAATAATTTAATCAAACTTTACTATTGTCCTCTTATTCCATCTTCGGACATGACTGAGAGGGCGGGGGCTTCGAACTGGCTCCGCCCATTCTAGGATGGTCCAACCTTTGCGTTAAGTATCACGACAATTGCCCATTACGTTGACGTAATTGCTTGATCTACATAGTAGAATTGCTTAACTATTTTATTTCAAAGAATATCTTTACACGTTGAGAAAAATGAGTGATGTAATCTCGCCTAATAAAGTGTCATTCAAATAGCTTTTTCTCTCTAGCTTTATTCTAAAGTTTGAAATAAAATAGCTTTCATATTCAAACCAAAATCTGATGCAATCTTAGAATTTCCTATTGTACCGTGAACCTACTGTAACCCTTAAATAAGATGGCAGAATCCAGCAAAAATGTTTGCATTTGCAATTTACATCATATTGCTCATGTTGCCAGAAAATGAATGCGCTACGTTTATAAAGACAAAAAACAAGTCGTCCATGACTCTATGGCGTGGCATAGTAAGGTTGTGTCCTAAACGAAGGCGGACCGATGTTTGCGAAACGGATGCGAAATGAAGCGATAAAGCAACTTCCATTGTCGAAACGCTGGCGTGTTAAGACTCGAGCTCTCCCGTGGGCCGCGCTTGCTTTGCTTAGCCTATATGGGATTCCGTTTAGCGGTTCGCACACTATGCAGGTGCGACACTTTCAAAATTGCGTCCGTGCAGATACGATAATGGAAAAAACGCAGATCGCGTTGACGCCCATCCTGATAAAGGCTATTGCACATGTGGCATCGCACCAAACTGCTGCTGAAGAGAGAAAACCCCATTAGAAATTACGACATGGATGCCTCTCTGTAAGTTTTCGCTTCCATGCCCGCTCAGTCACCGATTTCAGACTGCAAACCAAAGTGCGCACATCGCACACAATCATGAACTTGGGCTTTCACAGCGACCGTCTCTTCCCTTTGCGGGCTCCAGCTTCTATATCAAAATTAAAATTGCTCCGATAGCCCGTTTCCGACATTCTTCCGCTCTCTGAGCTGCATTTTGAAGATTGCTGGCGCATTAAAGTTGCTTGTTGTGACTTGTTAAGCTGTATTCAACTGAACTCGCCCGTATCGTCGTAGACTGAAAGCCTGCGGGAGGCTGTAGCATTGGCATTGCGCTAGTCCATGTGCGCGGCGATGCTAAGCGTAGCTCGCAGGCCATGTCAGCAGCTGCGCGCCAAGCACATTCGCGGACATCTTCAGCGCCATACGGGCTATCGTGGATAATTGACTCTACAGCAGAATTGGCCTTGATCAACTAAGCCTTCTGAGTCTATTGTTGAATGCTTAGGAACTATGCACACTCTAGGGCGCCATTGGCCAACTCGCCGAACTCAGATCGGGCGCTGTTTCACCGTTATAAAGGACCGTCTTAGTGGACGACTTCCATTAATTTATGAAACGTTTGGGCGTATGATAAGGGGCAGCGGAGCCCAATCTATCGAGATTGGAAAGTCCCTGCTCGACATGACCGACTTGTCAGATCGGACACACGAGCCGCACGAGCTTGTGTTGAAGACAGTGTCTCACCAAAAGTGGTCTCGCGGATCTCCACATATTCTACTATGGCGCCTCCTAAAAGGCCATTAGAACAAGTCAGACTCGATCTGACTCCTTTACGCTGAGAAAAATACGCTTAAAATGCCGCACAGTGCGAATTGGTCCGCACTGTCGACTTCTCGGATTCCCCCTTATGCGTTACAACATATTCTTCTACTTGACGCCACCACCATGCGTTGTTGCCACCGTGGCGGAGGCTAGAGTGAGAAGACACTACTCGTCCGCGTTGCTTTCTCGGGGACTCCAAAAAACAGGGTTTTCAAGTATTTTATGGAATTTCAAACCTGAGTAGAGTTACGCAGGGTCGGAAAGGCTTGTGATATGCAAAAATCTCAACAATCTCATTCTGGTGGGACACTCCTTCAATTCTTCCAAACGCTAGGGAGAAGATAGGATTTGAAACAAATGAGGTGATTCACTGAGCCCCTCAAATCCTACAAGATGTTTACTGCACCTTAACGAAGGCACCGTCTACCCGAATGAGGGTGAAGAGAGTTTGATGGAGGGCCACTAACTGAGCAGGGGTAAGTGACTCTAAATGATAGCACTGCCATCCACCAGCTGGGTACCGCACACGGTGCGCTGAACGCTCCGCCCCTGGGTAACTGGCATAGGATGCCTTGCACTGATGGAAAACACTGCTTATTATTACCCAGGCTTCATGTTAATGAGAATCTAGATCTATGCAGTAGATCGCAGTTTGAATAATTCGAAAATCATCTTTCATTATCATTTTCCATTCTAAATTTATTTGCAGGTTTTTTGCGACCTATGTCAGTTTTTTATGTTTGGTTGGTCGGTTCAAATTTATCATTACATTAGAGCTCCAGAAATTATTTCAGAAATGCTTGAAAAAAGTGTAAATTTACGTTGTTTTCATTGATCATTTTGAAAATTCTGCGAATCTGCAGTTTGCTCAGAAAATATACTCTTTGTAGTATTTGTGTACACTTAAGTCGAAAATTTAGAGAAAGAAAATATGCTGAGAAAAAAAAGGAAAAGTGAGGCTAAGCTGTGCCTAAAACACTTACTCTATACCATAAGAAACCGGCAAGTCCTCGTAAAATATATTTTATCAATTTTACCTCCCATTCGATTCGCCAATATAGTTTTTGAAATCAGCTGTTGTACAAGGATAAAAATTCATGGTTGTACTTAGCTTGTGGTATACAATTACTGATAAGGGGGTTCCATCCATTTTTTGCACTTAAAGGATACCGCGATTGCATATATGTTTATTTGATGTGGATTGTATATGCATGAGCAGATTAGGTTCCTCGAAGAATTTTTGTGAATGGAGCTCCGATTTCTTCTTAATTTGTTGGACTTCCAAATCCTTTCAGTTTTGCCTTCGTCCTCTCTCAAATCTAGTGCAAAATTTTGGTTACATCACTTTGAGCTTGCCTTGCTCTATCGAATGATACTCCAGAACCTGCAGTTTTGCTTTGGTGCTGGAAGATAATCAAACGATTCCATGTTCCTCGGTATGCTCAGAACCACAATGTTCACTACTCAAACATCTTACTACTTTAGTTCTTCCATGTTCCCTTGACCGCATTGCAAACCTCAATACAAATCAATTTATGAATTTTATTGGCAGTAGAGCAAGTTAATCCTATGACAATCGGATTTGTACAATGGGAACGTCAGACAGATTCAGAAATTAGCCATTCGTACTTGCTAAATTCAAATATTGCAAAGGAACCTTAGTAAAGCTCTTTTACACGGTTACATTGACAATTTTGAACAGGCAAACGGAAGCAAGGGTAGCGAGAAGAATCGCATGAAGATCAGAAAAGCAAAAAAATGTAGTGCTTAAACATAAAATTTAGGCAACAAAGCTACATAGAAATACGAATTCGAAGAATTCAGAAACTACTGCAAGCAATTTTCCCCTTTTCGGAATTTGATAATTGGGTTGGGAGTTGGGAGTTAATTGGGAGTTTTATGAACAACCAGTTATAGTCAGTGCTGCCACGTAGGGCGCCAAACAGTTTGATTGTGGCAAATTTGACTTTTCTTGCAATCATATTGCTTCTACAAATCTAGGTGTGTATTGTCTCACAGTAGTAGGGCTATTTGTCTCCTTTTTCTTTGCTGTTTGAGACATCGAAATCAAATCAGAGTGGAAGCTATGAAGTATGTATAAAGATAACAGATGACTTTGCATGTGTGTGGCAGAATATAATTGACAATAAGCATCTTTTTTCTGATTTCACATTTTTATGTGCAAATGTTATCTTATCTTTTGACATATTTGAAGGTCAATTTCTATGAAATTGAGTTACTGTCAATGAATCCCAGTCATTTCACTTGTCAGATTATCAGAAGTTTTCGCTCTCTTACAATATTCCTATCACAAATTTTTCAGCAAAATCTCAAGCTGCCACCCTCAGATCACTTTGTCACTCCCTTGTCTTTTTATAAAAGCAAACAAGATAATGTCTCGACTTATTACACATGCTTGCCAATGCTGCCCTAACACTGGACCATCTACATGCACAGTTGTTATCACAGTTGCAAGGCTGACGCGTATCTCGAATTTTGACACTCTATTGAGATCATACTCTCGACACATAAAGCCATGTACTCTGGTGACCTTCACTTTGAGCGCCGTAGTAGAAACACCTTCACCTAAAGCAAAAAGGCATCCGGAGCGACCCGGACGTTATAAATATGACAATACCGGAATGAGTGTGAATGAATATAAAGAATAATATTTCTAGCTTTTTTCAGCGATACCGAAAATTTGCGTTTTCATAGCCTTTTTACGCTAAAAAGAAGGTTTCTGTGGAATTTTAGCCAGAATTCAGAACAAAATTTCTCAGTCAACCTCTCATTTGACCAAAATAGAGTTTCAGAAATTAAGGAAAGCTACTGAAGTTAAATAAAAACGCGAAACTGCGCTCAGATCTTGCACAGAGTCTCGCGCACAAAAATGCTGATCCATCTCGTTATTAGCGATTTTCAACGCTTGGGACATTGTCAGTGCTCCTTGTCGTGTCATGACAATGAGAATGATATATAATGTTGTAGGATTTCGTCGAGACCCTGCAGAGATCTACTACCATAGCCAAATGCCCGTCGGCTCTGGTCTGTCTACTCTGCTCGTCTGCGTCTCCGCGCGCTGCGCGCTACCTCGCTACCCCAAACGCGGGGCGCAGGGCATTTGGCTCTGGTATCCTTTTCTTCGTTGTTTCAAACCCAATTTTAGCAAGCTATATATCAAATTAAAGCTCTTGATCTCTACATACACCACTACAAGGTCCCATAACCATATTTTTTGATTTGACCGAGAAATCCGGCAAAAACCCCGTTTTTAAAATTTCTTGCTTTTCCCCTGATTTAACTCTTTTCACGCGGTTTTTTCGTGCATTTTGTAGACTTTGCTTTTCTTCATAATGCAGACAACGAGCCAATGCTTACCTCTTCGATTATGGCGGAATTTTTTGTGAAAAATCGTAAAAGTGCGCTTTTCATTACTCTATTCTGTTTCACTGTTTTCGCAGCGATTTTTTTCCAGCTTGGACGATTACTGATCAGAATAATGAGCGCAACAATTAAGACAACGTCCCAGAAAAAGGAAACCACGATGCGGGGGCGAAAATTCAAAGGAGCCACCGAAAACTAAATTTGGCTTTGACGTGCATTCCGACTTAGTAAAAAAGAAACTTTGCTTTTTCATAACTGATTTCTTTCTTGTTTATCTTTTACTGATAATCGTTCCTTCTGAAACATGGTGTTTTTGGACTAAACACAAAGAAAAAAACTAGCTTTTCCTCCGCGTTGTGGACTACGTGGTGCTGGAGCGAAAACCTGCAATGTCGCCAAATGAAAGATTCAAACTTACTGCGACGTTTCTATCCCATTTTCAGGAGATTCTTTTGCTTTTACTAAATGTTTTGCATCTTTTTTCTTCTCTAATTCTACAGGAATAACCTTCACTTTTTATGGAAGGGGGGGGGGGCAGATAATCGAACAATCTTCACTTTTAGGGCCCTGTCTCTAGACTATCGAAGTTATGATTAAGATAGCGGTCTACTGACATTTTATGTTTGCTGCTTTCTAGTACCAGATTCTTTGTGTACCACCTACCGTCTTACTTTGAACCCTGAACATGCTTTGGTAGACGACACAAGTTTTCTACACCATCCATATGTTAATGTCATTTACTGTCACACTCTATTGTCTTACGTTTCGGCTTTACATCCGAAAAATCTAAACGGTGTCAATCATTCTGACGTTTCCTCTTAGCTGCCAAACATTCCCGGATATGCATTCGGTACCTTTTGTTGCAAATAGAAAACCTGAGGGTTTATTTCATTGCTGGATGTGTCAGTTATATAGCGGAGTGCAGCTGCTTAACATGCTCGGGTAATTTTAAAATGTTGAAGATGACCTGTTTCGGCACTTCTCGTTTGCTTGTATATATGCAAGCAATCTCATTGTTCGCAAGATGGTAGATACTGCGATAGAAATGAGAGTAGATAATTTTCGTTCCTTCCGTTGAGACACTAAGAAATGGATGTATATTGCCTGCGCAGAAGCTTAGCACCTTAATAAGATTATACGCTTTGCTTTGTAGTGATTACCTTACACACCCTTCTGTAATCAGTCCTTATATCTGGTGTGAATGGAAGATGAGCAAAAGCAGTGGGGAAACAAACGAAAGCAAACTCTGCTTTTACAACTCAAATACAGAATTTATCCGATCAACAGTAATGAGAGCCAAGCCGGAACCGGCAACGTCAGCTAATTTGCGACGAAACTTATACGTTTTCGTTTTCTCTTTTGGCGATTTTGCGCTTAATCTTGCTCTTATATACGAAGAAAGTCATGTTCACCCAAAGTAGATTTTCTCCGAATATTTTCTTCAAAATTAAGATTGAAGCTATCTGCTGTAGCCAAAACATTGCTAATCAATTGAGGAACCCAATAAGAAAATGCAGACTGTTTTTACGAAAATTTTACGGCCTTTTCTGACATGTGATTGTTTTTTTTTCAACGATGAGTCTAAGATTTTTACAGAACCATATTGTACAGACCGACGTTTCGGCAATTTTGCTAACAGCTCTATCCAATATTGCGTTGTGATATTGTAGCTGATATTGTCGTAGATATCGGGTTTTTTTTGTAATACAAGGCTTTGTCTGATGCGTTACCGATTTGTTTTTCACTTTTCAAATCATAGAGCGAATTTAAGACTTTAGTCTACATAAGGAAGTCTTGTACCACTCCATCGCTACCAAAGGGTTATCATCAATGCCAACATTCATCGATAGTCGAACATGGTGAAGCAGAGCTTGGCACAGGTAGCACCGGGTCAATCTGGATATCGCTTTTGGGACGGAAAGCAAATTTTTTTGCAGTTTGTGCGGAGCCCGGAAAACAATTGCAGAGGAATGTATCGACTTTCCAGTTCATAATGAGAACTAATATCATAGTATCTTAAGTTTTCGCAAGTAAAACATATTCATTGAGCGCCATCGCAAACATCATGCTCCATTATTTTGAAGTCAAATAAAGTCTTGTTGGACAAATTTGCGTAGCACATGGCATTGATGATAAAAATTTTATTGCTTTAAAGGCAGCGTCCGGGCAAAAAGTCGATTTTGAGATTTTGTGCTTACCCGGGCCTATTCGCTATGCTGAATCCGAAAATCACCACCAGAGAGCGCGAAGACGGCGAAAAAGGGGTCTAACGCAGGAGGAAAATCAGCAGGGGGCGGGGAGTCCGCCAGGGTGGATTCTCGCTCCCAGCTTCCGGAGCAATCTTCTCGCTTCCGGTTTCAAGTCAATCATTCGCACTTGGCCAGTAGCGATGTTAGAACGGCTAGCGGAATCGAGAAAATCGCTCCGAAAGCTGGGAGCGTGAAATCGCACTAGAGAAAGCCCCGCCCACCTGCTGATTTCCCTCCTACATTAGAGCCCTTTTTCGCCGTTTTCGCGCTTTCCAATGTGGATTTTTGGATTCAGCATGGCCAATAGGCCCGTATAAGCACAAAATCTCAAAATCGATTGCCCGGACACTGCATTTAAGGGTGAAAATGCAGACGGCATGCTGTCTAAAATTGGCTACCGGCATGCTACTGACATGCCGGCGGCGTCATACCGGCAGCATGTCATTGCGGGAATCAAGTTGTGCCAAAAACAAACAAAAGCTTCATTTACAAACAAAACGCAATCATATGACACCAAGTTTGGTGTGTGTATGCGTGTTGGGGACCCGAACTATGACCCAAAAATTCATGGAATCTTATGTGAATGAAAGCTGTGCTGAACTTTTTTCTGAATTAACTGGCACCGTGCCAGCAGCTGGGTGCCATGAGCTAGCATTAACCCTTTGATCACATAAGTTTCCTTTTTTTTCAAATAAATTGTATCTAGAATGTAAAAGTTTGCATACAGAGAATGCATACAGAACTAAAAATCTCATTATGTTTTCTTCTCGGCGTTTTATAGCCATCTGAAAATTTCTCGGTCTGCGTCGCAGTCGAAAAATCTGCTCCAAACACAAAGCGATGTGAAACCACTTTAAAAGCTCAGAAAACAATCAGCATGCGTAAAAACCTTTTACGTACTTTTACAGAATCTAAAAATAATGACGGGTCTTCAAAACAGGTCAAAGCGAACTTAGTACGAAAGTTTCAAGACCAAAGGAGATTTGTTTTGAAACTTTCTTGATGCCAGCTCGTGCCGAGCCCTGTACAGAAGAAGTACCCACTTTTAAAACCGTCAACTCTCTTTTCACGTCTTTTACTTAGCTTCTGATTACTATTCTGTGGAGCTGGCTTCAACTTAGACTTACAGTATCAGTGTCATCGACCCATTAGACATGCTGATTTCATCGACAAATTTTTACGTGCTTTATAAGCATTTCAAATGGTTGACCACCTTTTTTATAACACTAAAAAACGTATTTCGTTTACTTAACATAACTTACGAGAAAAATTTTGCTGTAGTGCGAATTTCATCTTCATATTCAGCAACTTAGTTAAGCCTTGTCCCTCTTCAAAGTTACTTGTAGTATTACAACAATAGATGATTCGCTTTTACGTGAATCTAAGTTAAAGTTGTCCCATTGGTTCATTGAAGCTAAGCAAAGAACTTTGTGGAAATAAAGTTATTCACAATTAGAAAGTGTACTTACTTTTGGGAAACCCTGTACGATATCTTCCTCTGAGTACGCTAGGTACTGATCGATGAAAATTTCATGATCCAAAATATAGATGACGTAATGATGTTGATAGTAATATTTGGATAGGTTCTTTTATTTTGAAAAATCGACTGGCACATATGATTTTGATTTGTTCATTTTGAAAAGGTTATGTGACTTTCATTTCAATAATGGATCTGCTATGACGCCGAAGAGTAATTTTCTAACAGCAATCCTTTTCAATCAATCGAGCTCCTTTTTTTAGGATTTTAGAAAAGCTCGTATACAGGATCGTCTAATTTTATTGAGTTGCTGTACCCAACGACTTTCGTAAATTCGCATGCTCTTACTTATCATTCTTTGATCCTTGTTGTTCAGGAATTGTTCAAGGCCTTGGTCACCACTAGATGAATCATCGCACCATAAAGAGGAACTCACCTAACGCACTTTTTGCAGTCACGGTAAGTCTTCTTAATTCTTAAGAGTACGAGTTACTGTCAAATTTTCTCCAAAATTAGTATGTATCTTGTATCGCTTCCACCGCTCATTTGTACAAAAATTTCTTTGTTTTTGCTGTGTTATAATATTTTGCCGGAAATTGCTCAAGTTTTCACGTTTTTTAGGAAGTGCCTTATGAAAATTGTTTTTCTTTCAACTTTCTACACCAAACGATGAGTATTCAGATTCTAATGTGCACACTGGTGACTATGGGCATCATTGGATGGCAGCACAGCACGGAGATGCGTTACATGAATCTTTTACCAAATTGGGACAGCATCAGTTACCGAGGTTGGAATAGGTATGAAAAACTGAGGGGCCTTGGACATGTCAAGGAAAACGGGCGGATTTCCGGATAAAAGTTTTAAAATGCAAAAAGGAACCCCACGTTTCCCCGAGGGGCGCCTTTTGCGCGCCTCATGAATACCTCTAACTTCTATAACCTCTAGGAAGGGCCAAATGGATTAGGGCTTAGGCTGAGACATAATTATAGGATCTTCTAATAAAATATGTGGAGACCCACACTACCTTATTTTCAGCACACATAATGATCATTGTTTAGTCAATTCCTCCAAATTGCTTGATCCATTTAAGGCACAGTTCGCTTTTCAGAGTACAAGTCGACAGAAAATCAGATTCAGAAATCAAAAATGCATGACTTTGAATTTTCATAGCATAAATGCGATTACTTACCACGCATATCGTGATTAGTTGATAAAAAATGCGGATTAGAAGTTGACTGTCAGTGTTATGTTGCTACTTTTAAGGTCAATTAATTATTGATTAACCTATCAATTTGATTGCTTCAGTTATCTTATCGCAGCACGTTCCGTTTGGTCGGAGAGAGGAGGGTGTAACGTTCTGACACTGACACCAAAAGCTTTTAAGCTTTCTTAATTATAAACAGATCGTTTGCTGGATTCTAGATGTGGCAAAAATGCAAATATGATCATCGTAGTTTGCGAACGTCCCGAATACGTCAGAGGTCAACTGCATGGAACCTTCTTGAATCTCAAATGAGAAGACCGTCAGAGATCACGCAAGTAATTAAGTTGCAGAAAAAATCAGAAGAAGCATCCGCAAATAATATTTGAGTACTTTAGCTTGAAAATAGTGGATGCGGGGATTTTTTCTAAGAATTATGAAAATATGTATTCTCCAGTTATCCCTGAAACTGCCATTTTGACCTTTTTTGGAAATAAAGGCAAAATGGGAAATAGAAATGTGAATGCGTAAGTACATCCATATTTCATTAAACCTTCGTCATTCATCGAGCGTTACTTTCAAATAGCCGTCGTTACGTGATCTGGTGATTTGCCAAGTGTCTGCAGATCCAACGATTGCACAGGCGTTAAGTTTTGTAAACTTATGGCTGCGTTCAGACTGATTTCGAAATCTGGGAACAGTCCCAGCACAGCGCTTGAAATGAGCGCTGTGCTGCCATCGAAGCGGTGGGCGATTGGATTGGAGCGAGGTTTGACCGACGCCTTATGGTTCCGATAGTTGACGTTTTTTTCCCGTCATACTCGCAAGGAGCATTGTTTGTCACACTATAAATTAAAGCTTTCGCGATGGACCCCTCAATAGATAATTGTCGAAGATAGGCGAATCGCGAACTTGTAGTTTTTCACCAGCGGTCATTCAAATTTTGGACGTGGCCTAATTTTCAGCGGCGATAACTTTAATATCGCATGCTCTGCCAACGAACAATGATGCAAAATTTTCTAAAAATAAGAGCGCTCCCACAAGCGCTCATCATTCGCTGGAAAGCAAAGTTTACAGGAAAGCAACCATCTTTCGTAAGTTTTGATGATCAAGTGTCAAGGACGCTACCAAGTATCAACCTTGTTTTACAATCTCCTTCTCTTAACACAATCGGAGCTTCAACTTGAATTCTATCTTAAATTTTAACAATTGTTTAAAAGCTGACGTAACTTTTGCATGACAATTCAAATGGGAATTTTTGCAAAATTCCTAAATCTCGTCGGAAATCTTTGTGACTAATAGAATCATATTTTTTGGACCTTAGCTTCAATTGTCCTAAGTTTTTATTTTCAATCAGTCCTTCTGAGCAGCATGAGAGCCTTTCGTGCACAAACCAAGGCCTTAAAACATTCCACTTCATAGAATCCCTAGATTTCTCGGCGAAATCTACAAAAATGCCAAAAAACCTTTTCCTCATTTCAGAAAAATTGAAACAAATAATTTTTCCGAATTTTTTAGCAAAAATTTCTTGCATAATTCGATGGATTCAACGTTAGAATCACCACTGCTCAGTCGATCATGCGCTTAGCAATGATCAGTTTGTACTATCCTGCCATATCTTCGACTCAGTTAAGCTTTCTTGAAGTAGGTGTTCCCGAAGGAAGAGTATTTGGCAATTCTGAGTATAGAAAATCTAGAAATCCAAAGAATTTGCAGATTGTAGCGCTATGAATCACACTCCTTGATCAAATTTGAAAAGTAACGGTGAATTGAAGTGACTTTCGAAAAGGGGGCAAAACTTTGAAAACAATCAGCATACAGACAGCTTATGGTACTAGTATGGTGCATAAGTACTGCGCGTTTTACGAGTTTTTACCTTGATGTGCTATAACTTTCTTGAAAATCTATATTTTTATGCGATAAAAACCTTCAGAGGCGGCAAACCTTTCTCGATACAGCGCACCTCCTCTTGTAATCATATCACAAACAAGCAGAAAATCATCAATAATAAGAAAAAAAATTTTTTTTTAAACCTCTTTTTTAAATGACCATAACTCTTTCATATTATTTAGTACTAGGTTGCTTAGGCCCCCGCCAGAGTGCCGAAGCCACGCCAGCGCTACGCCGGCGCCGAGCCAGCGTTTCGATCGATACACGTGTATTTCGTTGGGGGGGGGGGCTAGCTGAAATAGTTCTCAGCCAGGGCCCCGCCCCAACGAATTACACGTGTATCGTTCGAAACGCTGGCTCGTCGCCGGCATAGCGCTGGCGTGGCTTCGGCACTCTGGCGGGGGCCTTACCTGCTCCGCCCGACCCTATCAGAATGTAATGAAGGTCCCATCCCTATCCCTGTATAGTATAGCCTTTCCCTGTGCCCACTTTTACATTTCATTTCCCGTTCCCTGTGTTGTTTTCGAAATCAGCGTGCTCACTTACCGCCTGTGCCAACTCCCAGCTTCGTAGGTGAACTCTGCAAAATATTGACAAAAATCGATAAAATCGACATCGATCGATGACGAAAAGTAGCCTGTGACACGCTCCCTGTCCCGAAGTATATGTGTGCCAAGTTTGGTCCAAATCGGTTCAGAAATAAAAATTTCTATTCCGCACATACGTACAGACACATTCAGCTTTATATATAAGATGTATGCTAAGCAGCTTACCTTGTAGCCGCAAGCCAGTAGTACAAACAAAGATGGAAAGAGGTTAAACAAAGGAGATCCGCGAAGAAAATTATGTCAGCTTTTTCAAAGTTTTTTCATGGGCCTCAAAGCCCGAAAACGTGAAGTTTTTTTTTGATTTTTCGTACTAAATGTTAAACGTTTTTGTAAAAACTGTCAAAAGGAGGCTTACCATTATGCTTTTAAAAATGAGCAAAGCTTTAATGATTGCGTTTTTCAAGACGAATTTATGGGCCACAAAATAACCAAAAGGATTACCAATGTAATGCTGATATCTCAGTCTGGGTAATTTTTAAGAAAGTAAGAAAGTGTGCATAATGTAGACAACTTCTATTACATATAGTAGCTAAAATATCAAGAAAATGCCTTCATTCGCGCTTGAGTTTAAGCTGGAAAAATAAATGTAAAATTTTGATTTTTGGGTGTAGTTGTGTGGAGCTTGCTTTTAACGAATTATGCTAAAAGCTTGTTTTACCACCATTGGATAAAGCATGAAGAGCTTCTTGGGAGTATGAGTCTTCTCCGAAGAAGGAATTCTAATGGGAAAAGTTGTCCTAAAACCGAGGCTAAAAATACGCGTATTACTTTTGCACCAACCTAACGTAATGTGACACAGCGAAGCTACATAGACATACCAGCAGTCTTGTTGAGCATCATTGATAATCTTTTCCAGGATAAAAAGGGATGAAGGTGGAACCGACAGCAGAAACTATCTTGTGTTTCATCCTTTCGAAAATGCCTGCAAGTTCGTAATTCCCAGCATTTACCCAGTAGACATTTCGGTGAGTGAAACTTTCTATGCAAGGAGGCACTTTAAGTCTAATGGCAGCATTCATTAAAAAAGACAACAGTGGAACCAAACGCATTCGTTCAACTTACTTTTCATCTGATATACACATTTGTTTGAAAAAATAACCTAATCTATGTGTACCAAATTTCATTTAATTGTTTTAACGACGGATTTCCATAGCATTGCGTGCAAAAAAATGTTTATTCTATACAAAAAATTTGACCAAATAAAATATCATTCAATGCCACCGTGTAAGAGCAGCGCTTGATAGCAAATAAACAGCTTATGTCTGTCCATTTCTATGCAAAACGGGATTACTCCATATGCAAGTAACAAGACTACAGAGTGACCCAAAAAGATGTGCATACTGTTAGATTGTTAATAGTTCCCTAGTAGTAAAGTCTTTTGAGAAGCTTTAAGTATAATCTTGTAGCTGGTTTCAATTTACGAAGGATACTAGGTCCAAGTGGCGTTTCCAAATGAAATGTACACTTTCTTGTAGAGCATGGAACGCTATTTCCGAAATCTACTTTTCTTATCTGAGCTCTTTTGGAAGAGGAGTTCAGGAGTTCTGAGAACTTTTTAGATACGTATTCAATTATTTAAGTTAAAAACAGGTGTTGAGGTCTTTCCGGCGCTTGAAAAGAGCAATGACTGACATGAATTTCGATTGAAGGTAGTTATTGCATAGTACCCCCTGGTGATAATCATGGCCCAATTTGAGCTCACGGACTAGAGCTTTGATTGAAGTTATGGTAGCGGCGCTTTAACATTTTTGCATCAAAAATTTTCATAACTCCCCTACCAGAAGCGCTCTGCAGATACCAAAAGCAGGTTTGAAGTCTGCGTTCCAAGCTCTGTAACGTGGTGTACAGTTTGTATGGAAATGTCACTTCGACCAATTATCCTTCCCTTGTTAGACTTACAGTTTGGTGTGAATCAAAAAATTTCTCTTTATTCCTGTATGATTATGGTAAAAACCTTGAGGAGGGTTTTGAGTGAATAAGGGTTATAGTTTGCCCTATAGTTTACCTCTGAAATAGAACCCGAAAAGGTGAAAGCTTTTACACTAGGTTAATGAGAGTCGCTGATTCTAAGCATGAAACTCTCATTTTACCTCAAAGAGTCGGCAGACTTCACGCGATTTCAGTCGCGACGCAGTTTGGCAATTCGCCAGAAGTCTTTAGATCCAGCACTAGCAAGATGTACATGCATAGTGTGTATAACTTATGGGTTGATAAAATACCCTATCATTCGTACATTCCCTTACAGTGAGTGACAGCTGGAACATTTCCAGATCGCGTCGCGACTGCAATCGCGTAAAGTATGCCTGGCCCTTAACGCATTTCATAAGTTGTGCTAGATATACCACAACAAATAATTTCTGCTACTCGCAAAAATACACAGTATTTCAGATTATTTTTGAAAATATTTCCCAAACGGCGTTTTTCACGGTGGCACCATATGCTGCAAGTTCCTACCGTGCTCTCACAGTGATAAGGATAGATTCTTAATTCGCTTCATACCAGTCTAACGAGGGAAAGAAGGCTAATCTAAGTGGCTTCTTTATATGAGATGTACACTGACTTGATGATTACGAAAAGCTGATTCCAAATATACATTTCTTCTCTGCTGTAGGTTTCTGAGCAAGGAGTTAGGGGAGGGGTCTTATGGGCAAAAAACCCAATGCATGATCAGTGTAAAACCAGTCGTTGACTTTTTCTAGCGTTTCGAAATTCAGAATTGAGTGGATATGTTTCAAGCAAAATTATTATTGCACAGAGTAACCCAAAAATTATCGAGCCGTAGAAAAAATGTTAAGGCTGATTAAACCTAGTTGCACATGCAAATTTTCATTCATAAAAACCTTCGTAACTCATCGCCTAGGATCCCGTAACAGACAAGGAAGGTAGATATGGAATCAGCGTCAAGGCGATATCCAACTCATACCAAAAGGCCACTTCGACTAACGTTCCTTTCCTTGTAAGTTGAAGCCAGCTACAAATATGGTACATAAGGCTGCGTTCATACTGATACCGAAGTCCGGGAACAGTTCCAGCACAGCGCTCAGTTCGAATACTACTGGAACTGTTCTCGGACTTCGGGATCAGCATGAACGCAACCTAAAGCCTCTCGAACGTCTTTATTACAAGACAGTCAAACATTAGGCACATCTATTTGGGAAAAACTGTGTCATATTCTCCGACGTATAAAGCATAGTGATATTCGTTACGCGCGTAATGTTGTGCGATTACGTGTGCTACAAAACAAAGGACCAAGTTTTTGATAGCATTAATAGTACCATTGGAATTAAAGGAAAGCACAGCTTCAAGAGCGGTAACGTCACTGGCTCGAAAGAAAGCACAAATCAAGTGTCAGAGCTGATTAAACATGATTTCTCCGTAGTGAGGAACAGTCACTTCGCAATGAGTCCTTAGTAAACTCAATTTAGGAAGTGCTTTTTTTAAAGGCGTTTTCGCGCCGGTGTCTGCCTCTTATAAGGTGCGCCTTATACTCCCGAGAGTAGAGCAGTTCATGTTGTCGCATTTGCACTTGCAAATGGAAACTGTAATCATGTTCCTGAATCTTGCATTGTGCTACAGTTGAATGGTAGGGAAACGAAAGCCGCCAATTGGATTGCCTCCGCGGACAACTGGTCCTGGAACGACATCCAACGAACTGCAAAAGAAGTTGGCCGCGAAGGGCGGCTTAGACTGGCGGCTTCCGTTCCCCTACCCACAGTTGAAAGTTGAATTTCTTGGTTTGAAACTAAAAAAAATAAACTTATCAAATTAGTCACATTGCATTACGCATTATGCAACAACTTGTAAAGGTCATATATGAATGGGTAGGAAAACAAAACAATAAATAGTACTAATTGTTGAATAAAAGCACCAATATCCTACGCTTGAATTTCAAAAATTAGGGAATTCCTGATAGCGACTGATCAGCTACTACGTATCTTGATAGTGTTGTGCTCTTGAGACTGTTCGAATTTATGTTAAAGGCAGCGTCCACTCAGAATTTGGCCCCCCCCCCCATGTTTTTGTTATTCTGGGGCCTTTCCGTGGCCCAGATTACAGTCCCGAACTTCAAACTCTCTAAAATCTACAAAAAACCCGATTCTTGGGGACCCAGTATTGAGGGCGCGGACGAGTTTCGAATTGCTCGTCCCCGTCGGCAGGCCAGCGGGAAGGAGCTGCAACTGCATGGGTGCAGTTGCATTGCAGTGTGCAGTGTGCAGCTTCTGCTCACTACCTTGTCAATACGTGTCGGGAGGCACGTATTGGCAAGGTAGTGAGCAGTCCCTGGTGGGCGGAGTCTGGTATCAGACTCCGCCCACCAGGGACTGCTACCAGACTCCGCCCAGCCAGAGACTTTCAGGCCCCTTATCTCCATTTAGAGACGACGTTAGAAGACCGGACCAACGCAGATGCCCCTTTTCTGGGGCCTACATTCAGGACCGACACTAATCGGAGGGGGTTAGGTTTAGCCAGGACACTGCCTTTAAGCATGTTGAGTCCTCTTTGTCAAACTTCTATAGAAAAACCATAGTTTTGATATTTATACGAGTACCCTGTATGCCATAACTCAGATTGGTTTTGAAAGAGTTCTATGTTTAAACGAATAGATGCTTTATGTTGAAGTCCTTCAATACAGAGGTTTTTGTAGATGTTTCATCTTACAGTAAATGGATGTAGGCAACTCAATTACATAAAAATAAATTTTGCGCATTTGAAGTGCTGGTCAAATCCAGTACACTTTTTGATCCATGGTGTTTTAAAGCTTCATGGTATTTGTTTCCGATTAGACAGTTTCAGCACTTTCGTGTTGCGGAACGTTTGCGGCAGCTACAATGTCCATATGAAGATCTAGATTTTGCTACTATGGACAGTGAAGGATATATGTACGTTCACCCGCATTTCACAGTATATCCTAAATACATTACTGACGTAAAGTGTAAAGTAAGTGAGGTTTGGCATGAGTCAAGTGAAGGAAAGAGCGTTTTAAGGTTGTCTTTTTGGAAGGCGCATTGAGAGATAACGTTACTAACAAAGGGAAGAACGACTTCAAGGAGGTGGCTGAAGTTGAAGTAAGCTTTGCATATCAATAAAAAGACGCAAAATACATCAGAAATCTTAGGCTCCTGAGAACAAACGATTTTTTGCAAATGGAGACGCTTTTTACATTCGATGCTCTAAGAATAACACAAGGCTATTTGAGCAAGTTTATCCTGGCATGAGAGACCTGGACAAAATCCCCAATAAGGTATGTGACAGGAGAGCTAACAAAACGATCTCGATATTGTAGTTAAGGTATATCTGGCAAAAGATATGAAGTCATTCGACGACTGGGGTAGGAGACTTGAACCAGAGCCTAAGAAAAGCCCTGATCCGCATTACTCCATTGATATTCTTGGCTTTGATTCGACATCACGAACTATGTTTATGCGACATCTACCTCGAACTATGGAAACAATGGATAAATTAGGATATGAGCTGTTTTATGGATATAACAAAGTGAGTTTTGTTAATGTATAGAATGAATTTCTTCTAATTATGATGCAAATTTTGAAATTGCGCACCTCAAGTTATAGATCAGCGTAGAACATACTATCTATATCGTTACAGCATGGCAGTTCTAGAAAGTGATAAAGCAATTTCAGAAATAGCCTTCATTTATTCCGTATATTTTTTTTCTTTACGCTGTCAATATCACATACGCTTTGTCTCTGCAACGCCCCAATAGCTACATGGCTTTTTACTCCCGCTTCACTGCGAAAAAGGAAAGAGGAACACATGGTTCAATAGACTTCGGCTTCACAAAGCATTAATACCATTAAGCACAAGTGTTGCAAGTTTACGCTTGTGAGCAATGTGCAGAATGCTAAATCCAAATTTAGCACGCGTCATACTTGATCCGCTCAATTCACTTGACCCTCTCGATCCGCTTCATCGGTATTGATCATTTCAATAAACTGACCAATAGTGAAGTATGAAGTGGATTAAGCGGATTAAGTGGACAACCCCTTCGCTGTTGGTCAGCTTACGGAATTGACCAATGACGAAGCGCATCAAGTCTTGAATCACTGCTTTTGCTAACACCTAAAATACATTCTAAATTGCATTGCCAAAAGCGGCTTCTTTTTAGCCCTCACAAGAACATATATGAGTGGACTCAGAGCCTGTCAAGATTAGCAAAGTGTTATAGGACCTACAGGAAAAACCCTGAAAGACGCCGATACAACTGAAACAACTCCGCAATGGGGGGCAAGCAAAATGTAGACAAGCGAGCAGTGGAAAACCAAGCGTATTTTTTCGCGGTCAACTTGCTGGTATTTTGTGAAACGTTTGTCTCTTGATCGAGGAAGGCTCATTACGTATTTGCTTCTACTTTGAATGACACAATCGTAGCGCAGTTGCCGTTGCAAGGTAGATTCCGCGAGCTGTACAAGTTGTAAAGAGTTGCCCGATTTTCTGAGAAGGACTGCTTGTACCATAGTCACTGTTGTTCAAGAAAAGTATTTATCGGTAGTTAAACCAACGACAGAATTCTTCGTCATTCGAAAAGAGGTGCAATAGGTGGAGCCCGGCCCCCCAAAAGTGAAGGGGTTCCAGCTATCCCTGGCCGGCCGAAAGTAAAGGAGGTAGTGCCGGACACTCACCTCCCAAAAACGTCGACCGGGAAAGGGGGGGGGGGGAGAAGGGGAAGGGGGATTTCGGGATAACTAAAAAACTCACCTAACGGCCCCCTTGAGGGCAACAACTGTGACCTAACGGCCCTCTTTAGGGCCACAAATACGATGAGTACAGCGGCATAAAATTAAAAAAATAAACGTGTTAGTCAAAAGGTCTATTTGTAAGTAAAACCCAGCTAGATACGTACTTTATTAAGTAATTTTTTTATAACGTACTGCGAATAAAGTAGGTTGATCCAGGCAGTAACCACCGAGAACCAGAATTTCGAATAATAAAATAACGTAAAATTATGCGAAATGTCCACTGTTATAAATCCGGTGATTGAAGATGTCAGCAATTGCGACTTCATAGGTTCTGAAAGGCAAGTGTTTTTCTACCAGACAGTGAAAAAAATCAGGTCGGCTTGAGCAATGGCCGCCGAGAACGAGAATTTTAAAAAATTAAGCGATTTTAGGTTACTTAGTAACAGCTGACGTTTAGACTCCTATAAATCTACATTGTAAACGTGTGCAATGTTGCGACTTTATAGGTTTTGTAGAGTAAGAATTTATCGTGTGCCTTAGCCGTACCAATCCATTGAGATACCGCCGAGATTCTGGCTCTTAAAGAATCAGGTAAAAAACCGCTTTTTGACTTAAACAGCTCATAACTTCTTAAAAATTGCATGAATTATGTTGCGACTTCATAGGTTGGATTCTCCTCTTCAAGACCTTTCAGATGATATATATGGGGGGTCCAATGATTTGTGCGGCTCTAACCCAGGGTGGAGACTTTTCAGCCCAAAGTCTCCACCTCGCCTATGTTAATGTATTGGCTGGAGACCGCCAGTGGAGACTTCGGGGTAAAAGTCTCCACCCCCGGGCATATGCCGTAGGCACGAAACCCCCACATGTTATATATTATCTGAAAGCTCTTGAAGAGGAGAATCCAAACTATGAAGTCGCAACATGATTTATGCAATTCTGAAGAAGCTATGAGCTGTTTAAGTTCAAAAAGCGGTTCTTTACCTGATTCTTCAAGAGCCAGAATCTCGGCGGTATCTCAATGGATTGGTACGGCTAAGGCACACGATAGTGCAATTCTTACTCTACAAAACCTATAAAGTCGCAACATTGCACGCCTTTACATTCCAGATTTATAGGAGTCTAAACGTCAGCTGTCACTAAGTAACTTAAAATCACTTAATTTTTTAAAATTCTCGTTCTCGGCGGCCATTGCTCAGATCGACCTAATTCTTTCACTATCTCGTAGAAAAACACTTGCCTTTCAGAACCTATGAAGTCGCAATTGCTGACATCTTCAATCACCAGATTTATAACAGTGGAAATTTCGCATGATTTTTCGCTATTTTATCATTCAAAATTCTGGTTCTCGGCGGTTACTGCCTAGATCGACCTACTACATAGATATATGCTCTCAGTACTTTCCTTTGCGTTCCTTTTGCTTATTTTCCTTCTTTTAAGCTTCAGCAAAAAATTTTTTTCCAAACCCAAGTGAAGGTGGTCACCCCGTACCAGCTCAAAAGTGAAGGTAGGCGGAGACTCGGCTCCGATTATCGCACTCTGCCTTCGAAGTGCGTCCTTTTGACGGTGTAGATGGAAACTACGTAACAAATTTCAGAGCATTTATTCGTTCAAGGCAATTCTGCTTCTTCAAAGGCTAAACCAAACCGTATCTCCACCAGAGGCGCTCCAGTACTCAGACAATCGTGGGGGGCAGGCGGTCCGCAAACTCGCGCTTTTCTGCTAGAGGGCAGAATAATATCCCGCAAGCGCACGTCAAATAATCTCCTTCAGCGAGCGCGGCCAAACTTTCAGCAAGCGCTTGGACTCTTTCTAAGCAGTTTCGGGCGTACGCCGAGCAAAGGTAAGACTGTATGTGGCAGAGGTGTCATTGATGGTTTAATTACCCGAGTTTGGGGTACCTTCTTTTAACGAAAGGTACCCACGGGATTTTTCACAAAGGACCGCACGGCCCCCAACAACTTTGCATATTCTCGCGGAAAGTCCGCGTGAATGCGGCCAGTGGGTCGCACTTATCCATATAAAGACCGCGATAGTTCTTCAAGCGTTCGTCTAAAAATTGATCAAAATTATTCCAAATTTCTGCAAAGCGGACCGCAAGAACTCAGCAAACTATTTTTCCGGTGCCCGTCCGCTTAAAATTCGCATGGCTGCCTGCCCTCGGCGATTATCTGAGTAGATATTGGATTGGCACATAAGTTTTGCAACTTTTCCATAAATTTCTTCTTACTAAGTATAGCACTCTCACCTTTTAGCACCGTGTAGAGTGTGAAGTAAGCTGCAAGACTGCACTGATTGTTTGATTTGTGATAACGTAGTAGAAAGAATTAAACTCAGCATTTCTTGAAAACCCTTGAAAATCGAGCTTTTACGGTTTTTTGGCAAACATGAAGCCGTACAAAACCAGAATCAAACATATCATAACGGATAGGCGCACGTAGTTAGAAGTACTTAAATCAGAAAAAAAAGTGAGTTTCAAAAACAAATAGAGATAAGACGCCTTTGAGAGAACAAGTCACATGCGTCAAGATTTGAGGGCAATCTGTCATAGCTAATCTGCAAAACCTCAGAATTCGCTTCTTGCACAATAGGGTAATCCAATACGGTAAACATGATTTTCATATCCATTGTCGCTGAGATAAGATTCATTTTTTTGACCTTACGAAAGAGCCTTTTCACGCAAAACAGGCCTCATTTTTGTGATCATCATGTAGAATAACTCCCAAAGGCCAAGTTTCAGCAAAATTTGAAAAAAATACAAAAGTTTTTCCACTGTACCGTAAATCTACCGTAACTCTCACATAAGATGGCGAGATTCGGCAAAAATGTCCGCATTTGAAGTTTACATCATATCCCTATATTGCCAGAAAATGAATGCGCTACGTTTGAAAAGACAGAAGTGATATAAAAAGTTGCATTTCTTATGTGCCAACCAATATTTATCCATATAAAGTACGAAGCTTTTCGAGACTTTTGTGCAGTAACTTTGTGTGTTTTCCGCATAGAACGAAATCAAATCATGAAGTTCAGTCGTAGTTTGAGAAAGCAAAAAATAGCCGGAAATTACACAAGAGTCCGGGATAACCGCACAAAGCTTCCCATTTTTTGTGTAAGAACGAGAGTCAGACTCAATCCAAATGACATGGGTAAAGAATGTGTCATCAATTAATACTTTGAAAAGATCCGCATTGGAAATGGCATGTCGATCGTTGATCGGGTTATAATTTGTGTCAAGAATTCTACAGCTGTGCAAAAAGTGATGAATGTTTGAATAAAACTGACACTGCGGTGACCTTTATGTTCAATCGTTAGGAACAAAGAATACCGTTATTTTTCGCAGTTCGCATTCGTAAATAATGATGAGCTCGCTGAACGTTTCATCACTCATCAGAAGTGATGGCCACTCGCAAAATGAAAGCCCGTTTGCAATCGTTTACTTTCGACAGTGGTTTGAAGAAGTTTGAATACAACCCATAAGCGATGAAGTCTTATCTTTCTCGCACTCTTCTTCAATAGATTGTTTAGCTCGTAAAAATGATAGTGTTTTTTCACATATTTCCGGAGTACTAGATCATTAGTACAATTTGGGGTTCAAAGGTCGCAAGTGAAATGAGTTACCCTAATTTCACGCGTACAAGGCGCGGGGTGGCCCTAGCTTTCATCGAGCTGCTCAGCCGCCCCAACGTGTTTTAAGAAGCGATCCTTATGCCGCACGATTCGTCAGGCAAAACTCAGCACGGTATGGGGTTCCTTTGGTTGCGAAGTCCTTTGCCGTGTTCGGGCTGATCGATGAAAGCTAGGACCACCCCGCGCCTTGTACGCGTGAAATTAGGGTAATGACAATGTCGTAGACAGAAAAGATTTGATATTGTTCCTAATTTTAACTGAGGCACCCCATGATGTATAATCGGTATTTAGCAAAAACTTGGTACTATAGATAGGAAGAAAGAGCAAGCAGAAAGTCCGAGTTCCAGGCGAATAAGATTTGTTAATGCGAAAGTCCGCTGATATTGATTCTGTTTTGCACTACAAATTGTTGTTTAGGTTGGAGACAATTCAGCGGTAAATCTTGTCCCTATTCTTGCTGGAGATGTACCAGAAGCTTTACAAGAACCAAAACTGGATCAGTTTGGGGATATAAACATCAACTGGGTTTTACCCACACAACGTAAACTGGATCCAACCAATATTCCATTTTTATGGAAAATGATGGGAAAAGGCGAGCTTTATTTACCAATTATGTGTCAAATGCGGACTTTTTCGAGATCGCCATTCACTCCCTCCTTCCCTTCTTGACCCACCATGGCTTCCTGGTTTTTCTCCCCTGTGTCACATCACAGGCTTGCGACACTCAATCTCGCTAAATCTTCGTTTTTAGAATTTGGATGTCGCTCGATGCTTAATGAGGACATCTCGATGCAAGCTCTTGGGTTGTTCCACTACCCCGGCAACGAGTTTCTTCCTGGTTTTACTTCACCGCCCGCAGATCATTTCTACCGTACTTATTATCTAGCTGTATATAAGGTTGGAAACACAGCAGCTGGATTTATTCTGTCCAATCAAGGCTTTAACTTTTTGCATACTTCATGAGTTTATCAAAAAATGCTTCGCAAGATCGCGGAAAAATCATGTGTGTCATTTTAGAACTGGCGCTACTCACAATGCAGAGATGGTGGTCAAGTTCAACGTCGTTATGTAGACTTGTGGCGTCGTTTCGCCAACAAGTACAAGGATATTTGTCATATGGGATTCACATTTGTAACAACGTGAGTGTCTCTACCCCTTGTATCTCAAATGGAAAAGTCGTACGGGTTTATTAAGGCTTTCTCATGAAGCAGGATTTGTACTTGAACTTCTAGATGAGCAAATATCCTCCAGCCTGGAAAACTTATACTTCACTGGTGAGTTGAGATTTTCTTCGTCCTGAGCAGATTAGTGATGTGTTTTCACAGGAGCACTAGACAACGGGATCAGCGTTATAATGGGTGATCATGGCAATCGAATAGGAATGGTGCAGTTTTCATACTCTGGAAGAATCGAGGAGCGCATGCCATTGATGGCTATACGTCTGCCACCCAAATTCAAAGAATCACATCCAAAAGAATACTTTAATTTTATGGCAAATAAGTGGAAATTGACAAGGTGAACCGTTTAGGATCACAACCATCATGCTATATTGATATCAGATTTGCGCTGAATTGAGACAACACTTTGTTTTGCGTTTTTCATCTTCTTTGGGCTAGGTCAATATGCGCAGCGTGCGCGACGTACGCGACCTACGCAGCGTACGCTCGCATGTTTCATTCGTACGCGAAGGATTCTGCTTGCGCCGCTTACCCCGCTCAGCCTAACCCAGCCTTTTGCTCTTTCTTCAAATTCTTTTGTGGTGTGTATACAACGGGCTCATCATACACTAATCATTTTTTCAGCAATTTTGATATCCATCAAACTTTGAAAGATATAGCGCTTATGAAATTTGGCAGCTCTAGAAGATCTGTAACGCCAAATTATGGTCGAGGAATTAGCCTCTTTGATGAGATACCCGACAATAGGTACGTCAATGAAAATCATCTGTACACTTGTTATATCATTTATTCGTTGACCGTAACGACTGCTGACCGCGCGGCGACCGCTGCGCGTGCATGATGTTTTCGTAGAAAAGATGAATAGAAAGAAAACAGAGGACTCTTCTCATCTTTATAATGTAGAAAAGAAACAAAGAATTCTTCTCATCTTAAGCCACGGTCCAACTTGTCACTTTTTCGCAAGTTTAGAAGGCACGCGTCGCAGTCGCCATGCGGTCGGCAGTCCGTACGGTCAACGAATGAACGATATATCAAACTTGTCCTATTATACAAAATAATTGCAGGAGTTGTTTTGATGCCTATATTCCCGAGAACTTTTGCACTTGTATGATAGATCGTTCGAATCTTGCGGATGAAACTAAGAGAGTTGCAAGGGAAGAGGTATTCGTTTGAAACGAGTTGTAAAAAAGGGAATAGTTATATTTTAGAAAATTCTGTCAGCCATTCGTCTATTTCTCGGCAACAAAGATCTTGATGACTGTTTCAGGCTTGAAAACGTGAGCGTCTTTCTTTTCTAAGTCTGCTTTTCGATGCATCTCTTACTTAGATTACGATAGTAGATAATATTACGGTGCTTGGTCTGAATCCATTAGCAAGACATGGATTTCGTAAAAAGGATAATGCTTCACGCATGGAAGAAGCAAGGAAGAAGAACCCAAAAATGGATGTGAGTAAACTATTTTGAAGTTCATCATTTAGGAATACGGTATCGTTGTTAGCAGATGAGTCTGATAGTCACATCAAAGCTTATTTATATTTCACTACTTCTCAAACCTAAATCATCGCAATCTTTGAGGGTAAAAAGAATGGCGAGACCAAAAATCTATGACTGTTTCCCTTATAACGGAAAAGTATGCAGAATACTAGAAAAGCTTACACGTTACTCTAACTTGGTTTTTAAGTGATCAGCTTTGCCAAATGATTTGAAAAGGGTTGGCACAAGCTGAAATCAGATTTGAAAAGGCCCTTTTGATTTTGCATTCTCACAATGTTCCCTTGTCCTTATAACGGCACATCCGCATTTTTACTTGTATTCTCTGTATCTAAGCTGTCTCAACCCTGAAACACACGGTAAAATTTTTACTTTTAAAATAAAAAAATAAAATATGAACAATTCCTTTTTTGTTGTTTATATCTCAGAAAAAGTATTAGAAAATTATTATTCTACAATACGCTGCCGGCATGCGTCGAAGGCATTTTATTCTATTATCGAAGATTATAACTTACCAGTCCACCGCTCCAAAAATTTCAGTTAACAATCAAAACTATTAGGGTGATCGGTGAAAATGGGGCACCTATAGAATGAATGTAGATTTCTCAAAAAAGAAAAGTGATTAAACTTCCCAATTTTGATAGATGTTAGAATAGATTATCCTCTTTCAGAAAATACCTATATAAGGTCATTTACCTACCTAATAATTTTTATAGTGGCTGAAATGCAAAGTTAGTCACTTTGACAAATTTAAACTTCGGGCAGTATCTGCGCAGTGAAACATGCGAAACCATCCAAAGTACTACTGCTGCAATGCGTGAAGGTACAGTCACCAGACCCACGATGAGTTGTTGGCCTCAACTTTCAAATTCAGGAGATATGGCCATTAGCAGCTTTGAGAACAAAGATACGTACTATTCAATTCTTTGCAGGTGAACGCATGTTTTACGGGACCATCTGAAAGAGCTTTTTACGCTCTATCCATCCATATGCAGCTTACCTCAAATTTTATTTATCTTCGGAGAATATAGGGCGAAACATGATTTTTGGTTTTTTCATTGCTCCAAAAACAGCTATTTTTTAGGTCTTTTCGCTTTTTTAGCCAGAAATAAAAAGAAATACTAGATGTTTGATATACTCTTTGAAAGAGCATGAAGAGCTCTTTCAAATGGTATATCAATTGCTCTATAAATTTACGGTATGGCTGTTTAAAAAACCCTGTTTGAGTTCTTCAGGGCGCCATGCGTAGGGTTATGGAAGAGGAGCGCTGACGCTTTGCCAGAATAATAGGCGAAGGTCGCTTATATAAACGACGTTTACGTTGCAGCCTGCTTGTTGTTGATCGAAACAAATATCTCAAAATTTAATAAAAATTAAGCTGCCCCATTTTTTACCGATCACCCTAATACAATACGATAATTTATAAGTACCTGAGAAAAAAGTGGGTTGCCAATTTTCTACGTAATTATTTCGATTCACTGACATATAAATGATGAAAACTGAAATTTAGTACTGCACGTATAATACGTTGTATCAGAGCTTTTTCAAAGGCAGCATCCAGTCAAGTCTGGACACATGGCGATCTTACATGGATAGAAATTTTGGGGCCCTAACTAAGCCACTGCCCAACCGGCAGCTCAGGTAGTGCTCTAACGGCAGAGATATTCTCCTCGAAACTGGACCCCGCGATCGTATTTCGCATGGATTCATAGCGCAAAGCGTGGATCCTGGCGCGAAAATGCCATGAATCCATGCGAATACGATCGCCGGGTCCAATTCCGAGGGGAATATCTCAGCCGTTAGAGCACTACCTGCGCTGCCGCTTGGGCAGTGCCTAGTTAGGGCCCCAAAAGTACTTTCCACATGAAATCCCCATACGTCCAGATCTGCCTGGACGCTGCCTTTAACTAAAAGGTATTTGATTTTTAGAGATTGTATGCGAACTCACAATGCATAGTGTAATGTTTTTGGGTGACTTTAGCAATAAGGTCCTGGTGGTGGGCTCCCAGCACCACTTAGATCTTACAAGGGAAGCTACATAACTAAGCTCGGCCTTTAGCAAGTATATATTAAGTCGTCCCGAAAGTATTTTCGCTTTTTTCAAACAATCGCCACGGTTCGCAGAACAAACATCCTTAGAAGATCTTGGAAGCATTAGATGCAATTTTTTATGCTCTTTCAAATGGTCGTCTTTACATTTTTAACAAACGTCCTCTTAGAAAATTACCAAAAACTGCGACCCACGCCTTTTACCAAGGTCAAGTTTCGCTATTTTTCTAAATTCTTGCACTGATTCTCCGAAGAAGCCCAGGTAACCTGCGGATAGAGCAAACCAAGTGGGATACAAAACAATTTCTTCCTTCTTCCCAGAGCTCTCCATAATTGTTTGATAAAATTTTAAGCAACACTATCATATTTTAGCAGACCCATACCAGACGCAGACTCGTCAAACTATAAGAAATTCTCAGTTTTTGATACTCTTAAAGATAGATCAAGATTCATTACTAATTTTACAAGACAAATGAATGTTTCCAGGTTCAAAATATCGGATTTTGAATTTTTCGGGTACATCTTGGGGCGCCATCAAAAACATGAATTCTGTCGATTCTGTCTTCTAAAAGTTTACGAATCGGAAACAAAAAACATGTCTCTGAAAGAGGAGAAAGTGCTGCATCGAATAACACCCTAGCTGCTTCCCGAGTGATGCTCTATGAGGTTTACGTTGACGAAATATAGAATTTGATAGCATCAAAAAAATATTTCTAAAAATTTTGTAAAGTAAGATTTAGAAGGGGCGAAAATTGTTTTGTATCATACTTTGTTTGCTCTATCTGATGGTCACCTGAACTCCTTCGGAAAATTACACAGGAATTTAGAAAAATAGCGAAACTCGACCTTGGTAAAAAGCGTGGGTCGCAGTTTTTGGTAATTTTCTGAGAGCTCGTTTGTTAAACTGCAATATAGAGATAATCATTTGAAAGAGCAAAAAAACTGCATCAAATGCTTCGATCTTCTAAGGATGTTTGTTCTGCGAACCGTGGCGATTGTTTGAAAAAAGCGAAAATACTTTCGGGACGACCTAATATAAATATATATATATATATATATTTTGGACCACTCCAAAGCTAATTGCAAATATGCTACACCTAGTCGGCCACCATTCCAAAGCGAGTTATGGACTCTATCGTGCGCAAAGTTGACATGCTCATCGACATTACGGCATCATCACCTAAGTGCTAATACACTTGCGTTAAACTTCTTTTCAGTGGGAAAAGATTGGAATTATGCTATTTTGATATCTTAGCACCTTTTTCTTGCAGATTTTATCTACATACACTCTTCCCATGTTCAGTAATATGCCAATCTTGCGCAGGAAAAAGCCCATAGCTCGTTTTGAAATGTGCGCGGCAGCTAAATAGCAGAAATAGCATGTTTAGAATCAGCGTTCAAAGTTGGTTTAGAGCATATATGTACCTTGAGAAAAGCCCAAGCTAAGTTAGGTAGCTTTCCTCATTAGATGTCCATGCTCGCCAGCTACTAACGACGCAGTTCAGCCCATGGCTTAGCCTAGCACGCGGCATCAGATTGTTTAAGCACAAAAACGTAATAAAAGTTACTGATTTGAAATGAAAGCTGAACAGACGCTAAAATGATTTGCCGCCGCAAGAATTCTGAAGGCGAGGTGAATGCGGCAAAGCAACACGTGTAGACCACCGTATATGTCACCGAGACCAGACCCGAGGCCGAGAGCACTGGTTGTCGAGTAGCGCGACAACTAGTGCTCTCGGCTTCCTTCTAAAAGCGCTCACAGTGCGGGGACGTGACAAAACTAATAATTTCTCTTGCAATCTGATATGCAAAACAGACGCAAACGTTACACAATCGAGCGACCGTGAGTGCAATGTATGCTAATTTCTCTAGAGAATAGTTACAACAAAATTCCTAGCTTCAAAGAAGCTTAACAGTTTTACCTTCAGTTTCTCTACCATGAACTTAGTGTAGTGGCGGAGATAGCCCAGAATCGGGGTAGTGCTCGTCTTCTATTCCGTGTTGAGGAATCAAAAGCAGAGAAGGCCTTCAGAGTAGTATTAGAACCACTTGTGCAAGATGCTCCTACGGAATGCTATGCTAAATCTGTATTCAATGTATGTGGCTGTCTTTTTTCTCCTAGTGAACCTGAGAATGATAACTGATGAAATTGTATTCTATAAGGACTTGTATTTATCATGTACTGTTCTGTATGAGTTCTTTCATGTTTACGGTTTCTTATGTTTTAAGTGTCCTTACAACGCGATGTTAAAGGAAACTGAGAGTTTTCGGACGACTAATAATGCTGTGATAATAATACGAAGATGTTTATCACCCATTTGTACACTACTCAAATCTCAACGAAATACTATTTCTATGTTGCGATTCTAGTTGATGCGAAAATGATAGATCTGTGTTCATAGTGACGTGGAACCACATCCATATGTGTGAGAGCTTGCATAACCATTCTTCGTAGTCATATAATCTAATTTTATCCTCTTCGTATTGACCTAAAACATAACTATTTGTTAACGTTGCGCATTGTTCTTGATGTTTGCACAATTCCGCCCATTACGAGATGTACCTTGTGATGTTCTTGATCAAAGATTTTTCAACTCATTTCCGTAATCTGGATCTATCCTTGTAAAAAAAGAAATTTTGCCTCGTGCTTCAAAAGGTTATCCAACTTTAAGTGAAGGGAACAGTCACATTCTACGAGGTAGTGTGATTGCATTGCATAGTAACGGTGTCAGAGTATGTCAGCGGCAATGTATCATCACCAGATGCTCAAAAAGCAGGGCTCGGCACGAGGTGGCTTTTAATTGAACGAAGTCCCCGTTGACCTCGCAAAAAACGACGTCCCCACATCCCCTATGAGACGCTCGTGAGCGAATCAAAGATGAAAAACAGAAAAATATGGAACAGGTACGAAGCCAACATCGAAGAAACGATTGAAAAAACAGGGGCATGATGCGCCCAATGCGGCCACCGCGCGCTTACAAGAGAGTTGCCGCCGCCGTTGTAATTTTCAGAGGGCTTAAGTAAGAGGGGGGTGGGGTGGGAAGTTTCAGGAACTAGTTTGCAGGCTTAGCAGATTGAAGCTATGTTATTTGTGAAGGAATTATATGGAGAGAGAAAGCTATAATTTTGTCTTCTTTGTTCACCTGCGGGGGCTTCTCAGGTGGCTCAAAAGCCACCCAACCCAAAAAAGTTTGCAACTTCCTCACTTCAGATAACTTTTTCACAAATTTTTTTATACATAGTTCAGACTGCCCATTGCGCACTCACACCAGATTTGCTGTTATTTCATTTCCTCATCGTTGTAAATAAGCCTCTTGTTTATTTTGAGCAATATGAATCCCCGCGCTTGCACGAAGACAATTCTGGAGCTATCGCTTTGGAATGCTTGTAGATATACAGGGTGTCCCAAAAAATGTATCGAACGTTTGATCGTTAATATCTCACTTCCCAAGAAGTCTTTTGCCTTGCTTCAGGGACCATTTTGTAGAGCTGGCTTCAACTTAGATTTGCATTATAGAAAGAATCACTCATTTCTCTTCATTACTGTAGGATTACGGTAGAAACTTCAAAGAGGGTTTTAGGCAATAAAAGGCATATATTTTGCCTTAGAAAGGAAACAAATCAGCCTGAAAGCTTTAACACTAGGCTAATTAGAGTTGCTGATTATAACTGTAAAGTTCCCAACCTTTTTACGATGCTTCATTGAAGACTTATGCCAGGTATGAGGTAGCGGCCATTTTTTCAATGCTCCTGAAAAGTGCAATTACACCGTTTAGAAAGCTTCGCAATCTTGTGAATAGTTAAGTATTGGACTCAGCGTCCATAAAAATCCTATTACACAAGTTTTCACAATTTTTTAAAAAATTTTGAAACGACAGTTTTTTCCACGTTGACAACATATGTTTTAAGTTTCTACCGTAATCCTACAGTAATGAAGAGTGGTGGGCGATTCGTTCTATAATGGAAATCTAAGTTGAAGCCAGCTCTACAAGACGATACTCGAAGCTAGGCAAAAGACTTCTTGGGAAGAGAGATATTAACGATCAAACGTTCGATACATTTTTTTGGGACACCCTGTATATATATTGAAATGTTAGATTGGAAGCCCATGTATAGTAAAGTTTAACAATCTGAACAATCTCCTTATCCTAATCTTTTGTGTATAAAAGACATATACGCTCTATCTTGAAACGCTCAAATGGCTCCAAGTTTAAAATCTCATGTTTTTACCGTACTTCGTCCAATGGATAATTCGCACGTGCTGATTACGGAAGGTACTTATTTAGCATGTCAAGGCCTTTCTTGTAAAGCTGTGATGAAAGTGCTTTGACATGATTAAATACGATAATCATGTCTATCAGTAGAATTACCCCACCATGCAATGTTTTGACATATTGACGAATGTTTTTTTCATATTCACTTACAGGAACGTTGTTTACGGCACCGGATCTCAATTTGAGTGCGAAGTTTTTTTTCATGCGAGCCATACTCTCGCACCCATGTGGTGTGCATGCCGGGCACATTCGGACTCTCTGTAATTACAAGCTCACCAGGATACTACGACAGCTCGTAAGCTCCGCCCCTCCAGTGTCGCTTCAGACGCTGTCGCTTCACATCGGATTTAGAGGATATTTCAAAATCGAAATTCAGTAGCAAACTTTTGGATTTACGGGTCATCGAGGTTGCTCTTTTAGGTAATGGTTTTGTTTGTTGCAAAATGAAGGTTTGGAAACATTAATAAAAAACCGAGAGCAAAGTTTCAATTCAATGTTTTTCGAGAGGTTTTTTTCGAGGCTAGACTAAAGTTCAGGATTGCGCGTGAGACCGCTTTTTTGATAACCAGTGCGTCACCTCCGCTTCGCGGAGTTTCGCACTGGCCCGTAGCAAACCCCCATCAGGGCATCTCTCTTGAGGCGGACCGGAGCAGATCTCATTGCGCCTCAGTACATTGCCAGGGGAGCGATTGATTTGGAGCAGATTACTGGACGTTCGCGTTTTCAAAGGTGGAACGTTTCTGCCATTTGTGCATTATTAGTCAAATGGATAAGACTCATGCGCAAGCGGCGGGGCCTTGGTTCGAGTGCGGCTAGCGGCACCATTTATGCTGCTTGGCCCGGCGACCTTTGATAGCGGCCGCTATCGAAAAATCGATGACAGCCGCTATCAGAGATTTCACCTAGCAAACAACAAGATAGAACAAATACACATTTTGGCATAAATACGAGAAAAAGATACACTCAACAAAAATAAATAGAAACGTAAATTCACATTCTTGTTATCTGAAGCGGTTCTTTGAGAAAAACAAGCAACAACTGCAAGAAAATGCAAAAAAAAACTTTTTTCCGATTTTGTCGCGCAATCAGCTGTTCATCGGTCCTCACTCACTTAGGCGCCCGAAATTGTGCAATTTTGGGAGTTTTGCACCGCAAAATAACGTCATCTGCGATGTTTCATAAGTTACTCGGGAGCAACTTACGGGGATTTTCTCTGTGCTCTCCTCTTTAGCACAGTATTTACCTTATGTCGTCGCCCGGCTCATCTCCGATGACTCCGGTAGGGAGGTGATCTCCCTACCGGGCTTCGTCTGAAGCTCACCTGTAGGATGACCTTTACACCACGGAAAGTGGGCAGTCCTAATCTCACCCGACAAAGCCTCATATGAGGGCCTCAGGGGAGATCATCTCCCGTGACCGAGCTTTACTACGGGCCACTGGCTCTGTTATCCGTATGCCTTATTCATGCTCCGAAAATGATGACTTTGAAACTCACCGCGCGAAGCTGTGCATCAGAAATGAATTGTAAACAACTGTTCATTTTTGAAGCATCTCCATGTAAGTTCGGCAATTTTGAGAAAGAAAACTTGCCGAGGAATAAATACGAATTAGAACAGACTGTTGAATTTATTCTGGCTTGATAATTGTTATAAAGATAATAGTCATTTTGGGCTAAATTTCCGTGCAAAAATCTTTTCAGATTTTTGGGTGAAACCTTGCCAAATCGACTCTCTACGCGATCACTACTTTTTGGCGCTGTTTTTGCAGAAAAGCAAGCTTTTTGAGCATTTTTTGAGCTAGAATTTTTGCAGCGCAGATTTGCTTGTCAGGCAAAACAGAACTTTGCAAAAAAGTTGAATTTGTGACCTATTTTGCGCGCCAAATCCAGGTGGATCGTTTAAGGCGCAATTTTTGAAGGACCCGCTTATCGAACCGGCTCGCCCTTGTGCACGGTGGGCCTATATGCTGGTACGGTATGCTATGCAAAATTGTAGATCGATAGCTTGGCTGCAGCTCCCTCTATGAATTCCGTGACAGACAGACAAACACACACACGCACAAAAAGACAGACGTTTAGCGCTTTATTATAAGTCATGATGATAAATGTTTTTGCAAATTGACAGCGATTTGATTTAGTTTGAACATATCTTGAAGACACAAAATATTTGTTTTACATCCTATATCCCTGGATTGAAAATGTCAGATGCAAAGGTACGGGAGTGCTTCCGTGTTGATTTTTTCCTGAAAGCAACCTCAAAAATATGGCTCTTTTTAACTACCATTAGGCGAAACATCCAATCGTGTGCTGACTGTAAGATCCCCTCTGCACTTTACCATGTAATTTATTTAGGTACTAACTTTCTAAAAATTGCCATGAAAACCAAATTCAAATTTGGTTTTCAGGTAATGAGGATTGTTCTCCATCCTTCAACGATTCCGAGCTGTCTGGTCTACTATGAAGTTTTCTAGCAAAGGCTCAGGGTGACCTTGGTGACTTACAAGTTCATTATCCTGAGCATTCCTTGGCTGGGTGCCAAGTTAGTCGGAGCGAGGCTCATGATATCCTGATGAGTTCGTAATTACAGCGAGCCCGAACATGCCATCCACACGACTTAGGTGCGAAATTGTGGTTTGGGTGAGCAAATTCCGTCCTCCCTTGATTTATCTTACTTTTCCGTATCACTTAGCTTAATGCGTCATTCCTAACAACAATTTGCGGCGATTTCGGTTCTACATATTTGATTCAGACTGCATCTTATTCATTGAAAATGAATTCTAGCAGTTTTAAAAATGGGTGAACATAACGGTCTTATTATAAAGAAACTCAGTTTGCGCATGGTCATGAGAAACGTCATATCGCAATGCCAGAAAAAAAAGGGAGAAGTTATGGAAGACTGGTCAGTCGTTAATGCGTTTTCAATCTTGAACGCAATCTTCACAAGTAGCTTGGCTTGGCCAGTAACACGCGTATTTGGCATAGTGTCTGAAGAGATCTTGCAAATTGTAAAATGAAAAGTGAAGTAAACCAAAGTAAACAACAAATTTGAAATATGTTATGACCATGTTCATAGAGATGTCCATGTTCATGTCCGTCCCCAGACCATTAATTGACAAAAAATTGAATAAAAGAAGACTAGCAAACGCCCTAATTAACATATCGACTACAATATGACCCACGTAGCAGGTCATGACAGGCAGTGGGTCTGTGCACGTGGAAAGATGTGACCCACATGGTGGATCATAGTATTCAGTTGAATGATTGCTATTCTGGGGTTTACTTCAGATATTTAGAGCTTGGATCTCTTGAGGCTTCCTCTCAACAGGCTTTCAGAGCTTCGGTACGTAGCTGTAAGTTACGGTATGCATGATTTTAGCAGAAAATATAACTTATACATGGAAGATTTTGTTCCCCAAAGCAGAAACGCAAAATTGCAAGTTGTCACCGGCGTGCCAAGTGTATCGAGGAGACAAAGTTATTTGGAAGCCGCCTTGCCTTTGCGTGTGCTCCTTAAAGGTAATGGAATATGGTCGAGACATATATTGTAGCTCCAAATAAGCAGAAGGTTTGATTCTCTTATTATGTTCATTGTTTCGAGTCCTACAATTCTTTCAGATGGTATTTATTGGTATAATCACGGCCTAAAATTTTGCCACCCGTCTTCCTCAGAGACCCAAGAACACCGCTGTTACGTTATTCTGCACCGGGAACAATGGTCGTGGCGGAAGGAATTATTTCTCTTTGGTCTTGCGACTTTTTTGACTCTCTTTTATCGCAAGAAGTTTTCGCATCAAGCTTGAATTAGCTTGAACCAAAGCACCAAACGCATTCTTCTTCATGGTCGAAGAATCGAAAGCATGCAGGCTTCAGGGTTTTGCGGGGTAGCCGATTACCAGTCCAGTGCTTTTACCCTCCCCAAATTACCTCTGGTACTGCCTGTACCATGATTCTGTGATTTTCGAATTCGGGATTTTGGAACATTTTATGGTTGAAGGCTCACATACAAACTTGGTGGGAATTTTTGAACGCCTTTTTTAACGTGCTTTGGTTTATAGAGCATTGCCCTCACATATTTTCGGGGCCCAGATTTTAGTTGCTAACCAGCAAATAAAAAGCACCATACTCTTCTCCTAGACTTTGTTTCGACTCAAGACCTCTTTATAAGGACTATGATAGAGTTTACAAGGTTTTAGTCCCTTATAGTGATTTATTCCGCTGCCTTAGATGCGCAAAACCGTAAAGTGCGCAGTGAATAGAAACTTCTGACGTACTGAGTTTTCAAATGTCACGATCAAAAGCGCAAGAGAATCTGAATAAGAGGTGAAGTGAGCGTAAGTAATTGGTAGAAAAATTGCAAGATGTCAGTGAGTACTGTGAATACTATCTCTTGGTGTTTCAACAAATTCAAATCAAGTTGTTTGCGCAACTACAGCGTCATTTTTGCTGCCGACTAGTTTTTTTTAGAAAGGATACAAGTCACTATCAACGCAATCCAAACTCATTTCATGTTTCACTTTTACGCAAGCTCAGCTTGGAGCTTTTCCTCCATTTACTCTGATTTCGCACTTAATTTGAACAATCTTTGCCGTCTCGAAAAAGGTCAAAGAAGCTTCTCGTTTTAGCTTTTCTTTGTATGTATAAATCATTTTATTGTTAACAAATCACTCATAACGCTTACCCAACCCCATGCTGGCTTTAGATGGGGATTCCGGTATGGCAAGGTATATTTGTTACTATTTCAACTATATCTATGTTTGCCTATATATTGATCGTGGTGCATATCTTTAAACAACGAAAACAAGCCTCTTTCTATAACAGATCATTTTTTCGGCTCAGCCTTTCTAATGTGAGTTTCCATTTCGTTATACGGTGTGTGTCTAAATGATTATAAAACTTAGTTTATCGTCCACTTCGCTTTTTTCATCGAGATCAATACATTATTCCGGCCTCTACAATTTGGGTTGCTGAACTTTCTGTTCAAAGTGTATCCTAAAGAACTCGTAATGGTTGTCAAAATTGCTCTTTGTTTTTTATTTTATCTGGGTATGGTTGCGAAATGCGGCGACTTTATGGTAGCTGCAAATCGTCTTACGTCGGCATTTCGTCCTTCTACATATGAGAAGGTGCATCATTTCGCTTGCTTCATTTTACATACAGTTTCCTTTTATTCTCAAGGATTGATAGCCATGATTCATTTCAGTCCCAAACGTAAGAAAACCAATGTTTAATCTTTTTTAAAAAGCTCATACGGGGAACGCAAAGCTGAAATAGAACATTGTTGATTTTTCGTCTCTCAAAGCATCAAACAGCAAGACAATCCAGCAAAGGCTCACCATGCAGAACCTCTATTTTACTAACGCTATGTGCTACGATATCAGAATCAGAGCCGTCAGGATATTGAGCACCAATTTTTGCGGTGGCAAATAAGCATCAAAGTTTTTGATCAAAAGACTATCTTACGTTTACATCTTCTTTGAAGACTTGGGCCGGCCTGCTATGGAAGTTGCGAGCTTTTCAATATATTACGCCATTTTTGATAGTAATTACGACAGTGATTTTGCAACCGTTAAAACCCCTTACACATGTATCCAGCGAAAATCGTATGATGTTTCGTTTCGACGATGGTCCATTGAAGGTGCGTTGAGTCTTCTTGATTTCCAACCAGGTATTTCGTTAAAGTACTGATCACTAAGCCGTCACTTTTTTCTAAAAGCGAGCAAATGGCTACGGCAACGCGTAGAGTTGGCACAGGGTAGTGTACATACAGGGCGTCTCAAAATAGGTATCACTCTGTAAAGCTAGCTTCTGGCTTCAACTAAATCGAATAAACATAATATAGATGATATTAGGTTGTCCCATAAGTCTTTTCATATTCGGACCTTCAATTTGATATTTCTCAAGAACTAGGGCACCTAGTAAGCTGTAAATTTTTGACAGTAATTCTAAGTGAATAAGCTATATAATCGCCTATTTTCGGGGAACACAGAACTGATACAGGCAAAGTTTGAAAATTGAGCGCATTATTTTTTTCTTGGTTTCTAGCCATCAGAAAAATACAGCAAGTGCATATACAAATATCCGATAAGAAAAGTATACGCATGAAAAAGTTGGAAGTCCGCAGAGTTGTTTTGAACTGAGATATGACGATTTTCGTTTTTTCGGGAATTCGGAATTTTTTTTTTGTTTTGGCTGGGAACTTGAAATGATTGAGGTTTGTGCGAACTTTTGAAGGCCATCTTGTAGAGCTTGCTTTGATCTGTCGAATGGTACCACGCATTCTATTAAAAGATCAAAAAGAACTGATTTATGTCGCTGGAAATTTAGGTATGAAAAGACTTATGGGACAACCTAATATATTTGATACATATAATAATACAATGAAAATAGACAAGCAAGGAAGTTCATTATTATTTTACAACACTTATCACACGTCAAAGAAAGATACCGAGTATTAGAGATGAGTATTACAACTTTTATTTAAAAAACCTTTTGTGAATCACACTAAACGTATAAGAGTTTCGGTGTAGAGCGGATTATCGATTCCTCTTCTGTCGTAGGATTACGGTAGGACCATCATACAGCGTCGTTATAAACTAACACCTGTCCCAAAATTTTTTTGAAAAATTTGCAAAGTTGTACGGCAAGGTTTTTAGCGGATTGAATTTATTACTCACATTTAACAAGGCGTAAAGCTTTTTAAACAGTTCAAATATTTCTGACAAGGAAAGAATACTTGGTTGGAGTTTCTGTATCAAGTGTATACTGAATTATAGAGCAAAAGCTTGTAGAGTTCAAAAAGCTGGTTTCAAATCTGCTTACGGTATCTGCAAAGCGCTTCTGCAAGGGGAGCTAACGGAGTTTTTGAAGCAAAAGTACAAGGGTTTCGCTGAGGTAAAAGCAACTCTTGAGATCTTTGCGGCGTTCAAAAGAAGTAATCGTAAGCTTATAAGACTGAAGGTATTTATTAAAACACTTTAGCAATAATTATAGCCCCATTGAGCTTACAGACGCAGTCCTAAATGATTCTATTGCAGTAGCGCTGTAAAACATTGTTCAAAAATTTTCCTTAACACCTCGCGCAAAAGCGTTTGCACCAACGAAAGCAGATTTTTAATCAGCGTTTCAAACCTCACAAAAGAGTATGCATTTCATATGGGAACGCCACTTCAACCAAGTATCCCTCTCTAGTGAGAAACATTGAAAACACCGTTACAACAATATACATGGCATAACTCATGAAAGAAACTTTATGGTAGATTATCTTGATTTGTTCATACTTTCGTCATCATCAACTTTTACATTCAAAATTAACGGCTCCGATAGGATATTGTAAAAGTTTTGGGTTGTTATTTTTTTGAGGCTCAACATGGCTTCTAATGGCTCTTTCCAAAATGCCTAATCAAACAGAATAGTGATCGAATCGTTCTACATTGTAAATTTGAGCAGAAGTCAGCTTTATGAAATGATACCTGAAGGCCGGCAAAATACTCGTGCAGAAAGAAAAGTTAGCAATTGAACGCTGTGTGCATATTTTTGGCACACTTTGTATAAACCTGCAAAGCCTATAAGAAAGTTCTTTCAGCACCTTGTACTCATTGGTGCAGTGACTACTGTTCCAGCTACGACACTTTCACTTCTTATGTATATCGTAACTATTGCTAAAATGCGCCGCCTCCGTAGTATACGAGTTTTCGCCACAAAACAGAAGGTAGGATATTAATGCATGTACTAAGCATTACCCTAATGATCAATTTATAGACCACAAGCAATCTCCAAAGCGACTTGGAGACACGCTGCATGGCATCTGCATTGCTCATGTTTTGTGGAACTATACCTCACCTAATAATATGTGCAATGCTTATAGCATATCAGAAATTTGAAGCAGTTACTACCATTTACGCCCATCTATGGTGAATCTTTACCTGTTTCCTTATTCAGCATGTTGGCGAAGGTGTCGCGCAAGGTGAGCGGCAGGCAGTCTGTCCTTGTGGACGACGCTGCACAACAAGCGGCATCCCAAGCTTCAATTATAAGTTCCATCATTTTGATATGTGTACATGTAATCAATTGGATCAGAACTTTTCATGCTGGCCTCTCCCCTATTTTGGCAAATTCCCCAATTGGTAGCCACAGAAAAATTTTCATGTGCTCAAAACTCATAGCAAGGGTTGAGAGGAGAGCGGAATAAGCAGTTTCAACCGCAACCCGAAGGCTTCACCCGTAAACGGCAAGCTCTGCCCATTTCTCAGAATATCATCTACGCGGAATATTCTCAACTTGAACCATATCCAGCATTTCTCACCAATTGAATAAAACCTGCCAAAAACAGAGCCGCCCCCCCCCACCCGCTGCTATAAATCCGTATTGCATGCACAGACGCATGCATACAACATGCAGCCAAGCGTAGGTGTGCACGGAAGCTTTAATGAAATCAGTGCTTTTAGTTCCGACGAGAACATGAGGGTAACGCTCATGTCAGCTTAGTCATGCTCTTCAAGAAAGCATTACATTCTAGAAAATCAATTTCGGATATTCACTCTTTGATCATTTTGAAGGTGCGAACGTGTGCACCGTAATGCTCCAATTCAGTGTGCAATACTTCATGTTGCACTCTAAATAGGTTGCTTCGCGAAGTGAGCGGAGGATTTTATCCTAGCCCTACTTACTATTCCCCGCTCAACCTCTTCCGCTCTCTATACATAATTTAGATGTGAAAGCATTTCGGTGGAACAACATCAGTGTCCTTTTTGGCATAACATAGAACTTTAACTACTATGCCTGTTCAATAAGTGTTCAAGACTGATTACAAACCGTCTCACTCATCAGCTTTTACTTTTGACGAAATCAAGATGTGATGAGAAGTGATAATTTTTCCTTGTTTTCCATGTTGTCAAGATGAAAACATATGCAGAATTTCGTTTTGATTTTAACCATAACTACAGTTTTCGTCAAAAATAGAACCTACACGCTTTTCTACGGTTTTGTTTGTCGGAACTTGTAGAACAAGCGGGAGGTGAGGAGAAAGAACTGGAAAAGGGAAGCGAAAAGACCATATCACAAAGCTAGAGTCCGAGCAAAACTGCAATAATCCAAAAACTAGCTTAGAGCGGCAAAGATAGGTTTTCTCAAAACTATTTTTTATCAACAAGTTTGTAGGAGGGGAATAAACTAAGAAGGATTACAGAAGGTGTAGGATTATCCACTAATGCGCAAGATGACATTTCCCAATGCTCCTCCTCGTTTTATGTGTCCGGCTTTTGAGTTGCATGATAAAGTGGCTGAAGGAACTCTTTCACAGGACAATGTCAGAGCTTTCAACTTTGCCCAGACACTACCTTCAAGAGTGCCACTGCCTAAGCAAAGAATGCTTAGTCGAGGTGCCCTTTTTAGATGCGATGTATTCCAACCGTATTGAAGAGCATAAAACGTAATGAATAATGTGTCTTGCTTATCTGCGGAACTTTGTGGACAAGGAGTTATGAGCGTTTATTGGAGCAAAGAACTGATTGTTCATTGGATATAATGAGTTGCTAAAGTCTTCATAGCCTTTCAAGCAACCAAGTAAAATGTGCTTTTTTATCATGAAATTTTTATTGAAAAAATGCTCTGATAACTACCACTGCTCCACTAAAAGGCCAGATAAGATATTACGATTATTCCAGGCTTATCTAGGCATTTGGTTTTCTGCTCGAATAAAGCTCATAACTTTTCGCTTGAAAGCGTCCCAGATAAAAAATTGCAGATGAAAAATTTGGATTTGAAATCCTCGTCTTATGCTCTTTGATATAATTTACATGCCACTTCCACTAAGTATGTTTTCCTTGTAAGTTAAACTACTCTTTACAATCTTACACATTTTCAGGATGCCCGCTGCCGACATAATGATTTCTGCTCCTTCATGGGCTTTGGTACTGACATCTACAAAACTGCATAGGCATTTCTGGGAAAAAGTGGCCACTTTGTTGGGAAGTATAAGCCCAACTGTGTAGTAACTCAAATTTCGAGACAGACTATTGCGTAAGCGTGCCCTAGATAGTACTCCAATAAAAATTTCGCACCGAAATGATTCACATGAATATCACACATTAGAGATGTCTCACGATGTTTGCTCGCAACATTCTGATTGCCAAACATGTCTAGTGAGCAATCTTTGTTTCAGAAAACAAGAATTGCCTTACAACATGCCGTTCGCATGGGTAACCGAATTTTCACATACAGTCAGTAAACTATGCGTACAGTATGTTCTACCTTCGAAAAAAAAGGGAAAGCCTTTTTATGGAGTGGAGATACATTCTACCTTCGAAGAAGAAAACCTCGACACTTCTATGGGGATGATAAAAAGAAAGCAAATAAAAAGGCGACACTAATACATAAAACACACATCAAACAGAAAAGATGATGTTTGTTTTGCCTACTTTAGCGCGTATTTGGCGCGATATCGCGAACTTGGAGTGGAATTAGTCACCATTCAGAATTTTTAGGAATCGTAGTCGAGCGGAGGTATGTGGGTATAAGAACCTTACGAAGTTTTTATTCCATATGCAGATCGTATATATAGACGACCTAAAAAATCAGATGAGAATTGAGCCTAGCTTAGTTGTCATCAGCATAAGTGAACTCAGCTGATAGAAGGGAAGTTTGCTACGGATTTCATTCAGAAGGTATTTATGAACTTCTCGAACGTATGTGACGTCCCTCAGGCGCATATGCACATCAGGTTTGGTCCCACATTATCGAGTCTTCGGTGTGTAGACTTATATGGAATACAAGTTTGAATTCCTGCGCCAAATCATTTGACATTAACAATTACTTGTTCTGGCTTGCTCAAGCCAGTGAGGATGTTTGGAAGCAGAGCCTGTCATAAAGCGCGGGTTTTCTGCTGCTTCTAATAAATTCTTAGAGAAACTCTTAACTTGCCAGGGACTCCTTTTGTGACTGCCAAACAGTTCCATTGTCTATACCGGCTCCGCTGTACCTGTTTACAAATCTACTAAGTAACTGAGGTTAATCCTGCCTAGAGAACTTTTCGTTGTCTAACTCGCAATAGAGATTTGTGCCTTAGGAATCTTCAATATGCGCTCTGGAAGGGCATTTCCAGTATGAATTAATAATGCGACACATTTCCGCATTTTCTAAGGCTAAATCTAGACGTGAGAACGACACTCCTTTTCTCTGGTAATCCATCTTGTATTGACATCAGGCCAAAACCCCGCTACGGAAAAAGCATCATGAAAGCTTTTTTGATCAGAGTTTCAAACGGCCTACAAAAGCACCGGTTCAACTTCAGGGTAAAGCAGACTCAATATCGACAGAATGACATTACATTGATAATGAGTTGAAAGGTGATTGGGTACTTATGACTCAATAATACAACGGTAAGGGTTTTTTACGTCTGTCTGTGTGTCTGTATGTACACATCCCTCATGGATTTGGTGGAGCGAGTCCCACGGTCGGTCTTGAGTGGGTAGGGAAACGAACTCCGCCAGTTTGAGCCCGTTCGCTGACAACTGCTCCTTTTCCTACATTGTTTCACGTCGTTGCAGGACCAAGTCCGCGGAGGCGGTTCGAACTGGCGGAGTTAGTTTCCCTACCCGTCTTGAGTTATAACTTTATAGCACCCTACCAGCATGTAGGACCACCATGCAAAATTTCAAACGGATCCGATGCGGATCCTACAAAACTCGAGCGTCAAACGGATCCATATGAGTCAAGCTTGCAAAATTTGGTCCGTATTTACATTTCTCGAAAGTTTGTTTTGTCATCAAGTAGGCAAAGCAAGAAGACACTCCAAAAAGACAAGAAAATGTTAAGCGCCAAAAAAAAGATCAGTTGAGTGAATCGTCGATTTTCTAAGGTTTTACCTAAGCTGTCGCCAGGGCATATTTTGATACTTTCCCGCCACCAGTGAATAGCGGTTTAGGTTTTTTTGTTAAGGGCAACTATAATCCCATATTAACAGCTTTACGAGAATCCTCTTGCACAAAGTCAGCCTTTTGCTTGCTATTGAAGTTTCAGTGCCATGTGGTAACTCTAAATCTAGCATCCTTCGTAGCAAAACCACAACGCAGTTGCGAACAGCATTAACCTCGGCTAAGTTGCATACCTCCCAAAACAGCGCCTTTGAACGAAAGATACCGTGCGTTGCGTTTGATACGTTGGTGTGCTTGATACCTTCGGGTATCAACCACACCAACGTCGTTTTTTCTCAATTTCTGCCATCTCGGACAAGCAACTTTTGTTGTTAAAGTTGCAGTGTCAAAGACAATTTCTCATGGGTCGCATTGCTAAGATACAAATTGTTATGCTCACTCTCCTACATTGATTATTCACGAAAAATACGTAGGCGAGATCTACCTAAGCGTACAGTGCATTAGATTACGGTAGCTACGTCATCTCTAAATGCGGAAACACCTTAAAGGACAAAGTGAGTAAAATGGCAGACGTATTCGGTATTGAAATGGCGATCACAAGCACAAACGAAGCTAGATAAAAGGTGAAGCGAGTGTAAGTAATTGGTACACAAGTGCAACATCAAATAAGATGAGTGTACTACTGTGGGCAGCAAGTTAAACCGAAAAATAGCTTTGCTTCAACTTTGATACTAGTCTCAGATATATTATGTGCTCTGACCTATACTGATTGGTTGCCGGTTTCGAATGACTGCAAGGCCCTTTTGCCCCGCGCATCCCCGTGGGGAGAGGAGAGATCTGCGACATATTTTTCTACTTTAGATATCTGTACTCCTTTTTTCTGTCTATGCTATAAAAGTTTTTATGCCCTGATATGGGTATAATGTGGCAGAATACAAGCTGAGTTTTGCACTGTATGTGTGATCTCCTAGAGGATCGCCACGGGATCATCTGCATTTTCAAAGTCATTTATTTTCCTTTGAACTTGATGACAATGATGTAAAATTGTACCCAGATAAAACGCCACTATTGAACATATTTATAAGGAAATAGTGAAATCTCAAAAAAAAGGATATCTCAGATGAACCGCTGTTCGCAAGCTGAGGTCCATCAAAAAACCTACAAGATGCGCAATTCATTTGTTCTGTATAAAAACACTAGCAAAGCCATAGTAGACCCTTAGTAAACCTTTGCGATGTTTTCATAGACTTTCTGGAAAAATAGACAACTTTGAAACAGGGGGTGTGACCCCGAGTGATACCTTGGGGCCCCTCCTTAGGGAATCGGGAATCATAATCAATTTCAGCTTGTATGGCAATGTCTGTCATCCATCATACTCAAGTATCAGAGTATAAGAACCTTTGCACCTTTGTATACTTTCTTGAAAGGCATTCAAGAAAGTATACAAATATCTAGAGTAGAAAATAAAGAATATACATATCTAGAGTAGAAAATATAATAGAGTCTCGGGTCCTCTTCCCTCCCCAGCGGGGATATACGTGCATGCAAGCTTGAGGGCCGCATGCATTAACATCCCCGCCGGGGAGAGGATCGCAGCATAAAAAGAAAGCTTCATATCCTAAAGCTCTAAACTTTTGGATTTCACGCTGTCTACACATTTGCAAGTATTCCTACCATCCTTCACTATGAACATATTGAACAGGAGCGAGAAGCTGCACAAGCAGCATTTCTACCATTTTGTATGATCACATGATGATCCCCCGGGGACGATCATTCATTCTTCAAAGTCATTTCTCTTTCTTTAAAGTCAATGAAAACATTCCAAAGCTGCACTGATCTAACCAACAGTGCTAAGCATATTGCTGAGGAAGACAAATGAGTTCTGAAATATCAAAATTTCCGATGAACCCCAAAACTGTGGTACAACGAAAATTTCATGACTCCAAAACATCATTTGTTCTTATCAGCAACATGCTTAGCACTGTTGGGCTAGATAAGCAATACAACTTTGGATGTTTTCATTAACTTTGAAAAAAGAAAAATGACTCTAAAAACAGACGGTCGTCCCTGAGGATTACTAGGGGATCATACAAAAAGCTGGAAAATGCGGCGTCTGCAGCTTCTCGCTTCTGTTCAATATGTTCATAGTGGAGGAGGTGGGAATACTTACTGATAGGTAAACAGCGTGAAATCCAGATATCTAGAGTTTCAGGATATCTTTCTTTCAAGCTGCGATCCCCTCTCCGGCGTGGATGTTGATGCATGCGGCCCTAAGAGAATAATCATCCAAAAGCTTAACTTTCATTGCAAGCATCGCTTGGTGGTGTTCCCATACTTGTAGCTTTATGCTATTCACAGAGAATTGAGAACTACTTTTACTCATTTATGTTTATTTCACCTTTCGTAATCCTCCTTTTCCATGCCTTCAACAAATTTCACGCTAAAATCTTTTGATCCCAGTTGTCCGCAGAATTGAAGAAAAAACTTGAAGGCACCGTCTATTCAAATTCTCGATTTCCATGTTTTCGCCGGTTTCAGGCCTTCTGAAGGTCTTCTTTTCGAATGAGGAGTCGAGAATCCATGAAACGTCAAAAACCCCCGTTTTGAAGAACCCGCTGCAGCAAGCGCAAGCGAGGGAAAGACTGCAAAGTGGAGGGGAGACCAGCTGGGTGGAGTGACCAGCTCTAGATTTGCACCTTTCAGAGCGGATTTCTCTCTTCAGAAGCAATCTTTCGCGGTGCAAGGGGGTTTTCTAGTGTGGGCCCCCAGACTAGTATGTCAACATAGACTCGTCAACCCCCACTTTGTGTAGACGGTGCCTTTAAGCAAGAAAAAGGGCGAAATTTGGATCGAAAGCGGATAACTTGGGTAGCGCCAGGGTAGCGTGGGGTGAGGCACGCCACACCTAGGGCGTCGTATGAAATAAATAGGAGGAGGTCGTAATCGAGTAATGCTAGTAATAGCGTTGTTATCAATAGCACGATTCAGCTCGTCAGATAATCTTATTACGCAATACAAGAGGTATTGATTTATCATTTGTATACCTTCCGTAGCATAATAAAGAGGTCCCACCAAGCAAACGAGTTATTTTTCCATAATAAGCATGTCAAATGACCCTTCTGGACCGTCCAAGTAAATTCTGAAATTTTAGATACTGGGCTTGAGTAAATTGGTCATTCTCGAACATGATCAACTTTGTTTCCGAATGAATTAGGAACCTCTTTTTGCGCTTAATACAAAGCACTACCCCTTCTTTGCATACCTCAGAGAATCCGCTTCAAAACACCGCCAAAATGTGAAATTAGAGGCGAACCGATTTCTCGCTTGTCTTATTTTTTTGCTTTTCTTTTACCAACTATTACTCAGAGCAAAAAAGACGAATTAGGCTCAAATAATTCCTGTAGGAATACAAACGGGTAAGGAATCATACAGAATAATGTTCGCTCAAAATGCTTCTATGTCATAGTTGAAATAGGGTGTGTCGCATACCAAATAAGGTGTGGCAGCCACATTTCCATGGGGTTGTACCACACCCCATTAACTTGCCTTTAAAGGATTTCTTAGCGAATGAAATATACATAATTCGACTAAATTTCATAGATTTGATAGGATAGAGCCTGAATCGTCTTCTTTGCTCTGAGTAATAGCTGGTGAAAGCACAGCCATCAAACGGGAAAAATAGGAAAACGAGATTTTGCCTTGATTCTAAATCACAATTTTGCGGTCTTTTTTGGGCGCGATTTCTAAGGGCGTGTAAAGAAAGGAGTAGTGCTTTGTACTAAGCGCAAAAACAAGTAGTGATGTTTAAAAACACCATCTCGCTCAGATGGCCCAGTATCAGGGCCCGGCACGAGGTGGCTAGATGAAACTGCAAAAAACGAAGTCCCCTTGAATTTCGCGAATTTTTACGAAGTCCCCTTTGACCCTGGACCAAATTCCCTAAAAATCCTCCAAAAAACGAAAGTCGACTAGAAAAAAAACTTCGCAAATTCTGCGTTTTTTCGGCCGCAAAAACGGCAGAATTCGCTCAAACTTGTTCCATAGCAGTTTTTGGCATGCTAATTGAAAACATCTTACTCGTTTTGCTTGGTAGGCCTTTGTGTTGCTCCTATCTTCGGTATGCAATAGTTCAAGGGATCTTATGACGGTAATTAGGGAAGTGGGGGGAGGTTGTATCCAGCGATCTTGTGCCACACTCTTGCTTGACCCTACTTGGGAAGTGAAGAAGGGGCTGAAAATTACCTCGACTTGTGACATTGCTTCGGCATAAGGAAAAAAGATGACGCAGCTTTAACACCTTTCAGATGGAGTTCCCGATATGGCAGGGTGTAATTATTGCTGCTTCAACTACGTCCATGTTCGCTTACATTCTAATCGTAGTGCACATCTTCAGAGGAAGGAAACAAATTCCGTTTTACAACAAATCATTTTTTCGGCTCTGTCTTTCTAATGTAAGTTCTCATTCCGTTATCCAGTATACTAAAAATAAGGTGCTATTCGTCTAGTTTATCGTCCACTTCGCTTATTTCGTCGAGATTAACATATGCTTGCGTCCTCTCCATTATGGATTACTCAATCCACTATTCAAAAGATATCCCCAAACATTGACGACAATCATGAAAGTCGCACTGTGTATTGTATCGTATCTGAGTTTAGTCGCAGGCTGTGGTGATGTTATGGTGGCCGCGAATCGGCTTACGTCAGCATTTCATCCTACTACCTATGAAAAGGTGCTTTTTTTGTACGCAGCAGAGCACTATCAATCCACTTGAACACTTTAACCTTTCTAGGCATTCTGTCTGGTGAGCTTAAAATTGATAAAACTTGACCCACAGACTAGATCAACCATCTTTTTAGCATCATGCCTTTTCTGTGACTGACACCCAATACAACAAAATGTACTCTATCTCTTTGTAATTCTCATTTCTTTACAATCCTCTTCCTCCAAAAAGCACCGCAATGATCAGACAGAGATCAGACGCAGACGTTCGTATCTCTTAATGTCACTAATGCTAATGTTAATGCAATCGTCTCTCTTTGAATTCTTGTATTCAAGGCATATTAAGGCTTCCAAAATGTGCAAGGGAGTATGTTGATAAAATAGGTGGATCTGGATTGGCTATGCCCAAACAGGCTAAGCCGACCGTTAGGTGACCGCAAGAAACCAAAGAACTATTTTTCCGGTGCTCGCCTTGCCATAAATCGCATGACCGCCTGCCCCAGCGATTACCTGAGGGGGTGTATTGCAGACTTTGCCTGATAACACAGATAAGCTTCTTAACCTCCACGTTATAGCATTGCTTTTCGTACTCTCTCGGTAGCAAAGCCACGCTGTGACGCAAGACTCCATCTCTACAAATCTAGAAGCCAATGATATCTTCCTCTTTCTTTGCTGTAAATTCTTGTAAACTGCATAGGGTGAGAATTTATTGATAATCTCATTTCAATTCTGCATGACAATTTCGTTTTTCTTGAATATTCATGCTAAAATATCACGATTTTGTTTAGTTCACCCATTTGCTAGCGAAATTTTGACGATGATCACCATCGATTTAATAGTGGCCGCTATTAAACATTGCGCGGCGACAACAGAAATAGTCCCGCTAACGATCTCGAACCACGGTCACCGTGATCGTATCGTAATTATTTACATATTAGATGCCTGCTCATGCCGTATTGCTGGGGAGACCGCCCTTCTGAACCGCTAGCATTCGCAACCTAATTACTGCGCGCCTCTGACTGGTCGGTGCTGCCGCCGCTTAGGTAGGCGAGAGCTATGCTGTCGTTAAAGTCGTCTGAATTGGACTGCAAAGGCATTCTCATGATAAAAAGAATCAATCGATTTTCCCATGAAGCTCGAAAATGTTTTATGTGGGCGGCTTAGGTAAATTCTTCAGCTTACACGTACAGACTTCATGGCGTTTTGAAAACTGGGAAGGGCGAAGAAATTACGAAATGGCCTAAAAAACATGCAACCTTTCCAACTTTTTGTATTCATAACTCAAACATCCTCATCCTCTACATCTATCATTATTCGTGTGCTTCACTTGCCTTGAAATGCTCAGAAATACTTGAAAACTCTGCTAGATTATAAGAAAGGAGAAGTAATTAACGCCGCCCGGGCAGAGTAATTATCGCTAGGACGCAGCGGTTCAGAAAGGCATACACCCGTTGGATGCTGCACACGCTGTAAGACTAACTTAGGTCCGCTCCAGGGGAGATACTGAGGGGAAATTTACTACGCGCCAGAGACTCGATATAGTCCAAATTAACCTTTCAGCTTTAGCCTTGACACTAGCAGCGAAAATTTTTGTTTTTTCTATCATATAATAGAAGTATATTTTGAGAGCGTAGACCGAAACTTTTGGCAAGTAGGATAAAGGTCACGCATTTGATAAGACTATAACATCCATGTTTTCTATAGCGCTGCCTCTGCACAGGTTTGGGCCTGTTTGTTATGGAAATTATGGGCATTTCAATATATAACGCCATTCCTGATAGTGCTGACAACAGTGGTACTGCAACCACTAAAGCCGCTCACACATGTATCTAGCAAAAGTCATGTTATGTTTAACTTCGATGATGGTCCAATGAAGGTACACATTTTTTTTTACTTTCCAGTCCTTTTACTTTTAAAAGTTGAGATACCCTATTTTCAGGTGTATAAGCCGCACCCTTTTCACTCTAAAGGCGAACACGCCAAAAGACTGACTGTCATCATGGAGCGCGTTAAGTGAGAGCAGTATGCGATAAGGCGACCGCTTCGCGAGACATATGCGCGGCGGCACGCCTGGGTCTGCTCGCGTTTAGGGCAAAGAGGGTGCGGCTTATACACCTGAAAATAGGGTAAATGTATTTCAATGCCTAACTCTTGCGTTGCAGAAATTGATGGTTTCTGTGCATGCTGAATTCACGCAAAAGTTTTCTCTGAAGCAATGCAAAATTCCCGAGAATTTCCAGAAGAAGACTAATTCTCTGCTATTCAGCACCTCACACTTATTGGTGCATTGGCTGCTGCTCTGACTATGATACTTTCACTTCTCATGTATATCATGACTATTGCTAAAATGCGACATTTTCGCAGAACACGAATCTTTAGCACAAATCTGAAGGTATACATGAGATCCATGCATTAGACGTGGATTCGTTTTATACTGTCCAATTCAGATCAGCAGCAGTTCTCATAGCGATTTGGAGAAACGCTGCATGGCATCTGCATTGCTCATGTTTTGTGGAGCTGTCCCTCATCTGATGATATGTATTATGATTATAGCGTATCACAGATCAGCAACTGTCACTTCGTTCTATGCCCATTTATGGTGAGTCCGTCCCACTTACGCTTTCACTGAGCAATTATTGAGCGAAAAATTAGCCCTTCATCTCTGACAAAAGCTGTAGCGTCGTAAGTCTCAGTGGACAAAATCAGAATGTCATACTAATTGATAAAAAAATCTCGAGTCTTCTACTCCTACTGCATTGCTCCTAATTACCTCAATTCTAGCATATAAGCACTCCATGCAAATGAATCAGCCCTGAGTAAAATATGTCCGCCCTACGGATAAACCCTCCTGGAAATAGGACCCTTAGCAACGCGCATTCTGCTCGTTCAGAAACCCGAACTGTGCCGTTGCGTGACAGCGCCGAGACAGCACCGTGCTAACACAGCGCTGTCCCGGCGACGGTACAACGATTCCGGGGTCTCAAGCGAATTTTGACCTGTACCCGTTACATCTACCCAAGCAAGGAAGCCAGAACTTAGTCCTTCTTTGCCTAAATTGCGTCTCATCCTTCTACAGCTCCCTCCCACATTTTTCTTCCTTAACTCTTATTCTAGTTTTTCTTTCAAAGATAATCCCCCTAGGTTATTCAATGAGGTAACCTCCCTTTCCACTGCCTTTTCAGGGAAAAAAGCCGATGCTTTTTTGCGACACAATTTATTTTTTATTTTAGACGTCTTTACTTGCTCTTGGAGTGCTAAAACTTTTCTATGACTTTCTGAATCAAGTGATCAATACTACAAAGATGTGATTTTCTCATGCCAAAATCAGGTTGACCGGCGAAACTTTATTGGAATGTTTCGAACATTCTCTTCGCCAGGTGCCTTCGGTCCATCATAAGACCAGTAGCCCACAATTCGGACGCAACGTGAACAAGAGTTGCTATTTCGGTGCTGTCCTAGCGCACAGATCAGACAGCTCTAAATTGAGCCTAACTCCTTCAGAAAAAGGGAAACTCTTTATGGCATAAAACTACTCAAGGAGACGTAGAAGTTTGTTTAGCATTTCGAAACGCGTAAACAAGCAAACCATACAGCTTGTGTTGCACACACAATTGTCGTTATTTCTAACGGCAATTTTCAGTGATATTCAATTTCTTTTTTAATAAAACAATTCATATTTTATAGGATTCCAGCTGCGGACTTAATGATTTCCGCTCCTCCATGGGCTTTGATAGTGAAGTCGACAAAGCTGCGTAGGTACTTCCGGGAGAAAGTGGAGACGCTGCTAGGTACTATTACCATGACTGTGTAATACTTTAGCTTAAAAAATGATTTATGTAAGCTTATTTGTATCAACAGCTTTGAGACAGTTTCCACGATGTTCACGAAGTAATCAAATCTCTCAGTGTGTTTGCAATATAATTATTAAACAAGCGTGAAAGGCATTCTCCATCTCAGAAAGCAGCTATTAACAGGAACTAGAAAAACTAGAATTACCACGAGATGAAATGCTAACGATCCGACCGCGAAGGTGCCAATGACGCCAGAGGCGCCGCTGTCGCTAAAGGCGCTAATGGTGTCGTGAGCACCATTAGCGAAGGCGTTGTTTAGGGTTGTTGCACAAGCGATATAAGAGGCTAGTAAGCCCTTTACTCAAACGCTGAAGTCTATGGCAGTAAGCCCCGCTTCCGTTGCCTGCAGTGCAACAGCTGTAAACAGCATTTTCGTAATGGCGCTTCCGGCGTTATCAGCGCCTTCGACGTTGCCAGCGCCTATGGCGTAGTTGGCGCTTCCGCCATCACCGACACTGTAAGCACTCTCAGCACTTTCGGCAGCATCAAAGGAAGCTGCTATGTGTCCGTATCCTTGTCACTGTCCATTCGTGCCAGATTTCTTTGTGGTGCATATTTGTATTCAATTTCTGTACAGAAAGAGCTAGAAGAATTTCAGATGTTGAGTGGCTAAGCTCTACAAAGAAACCCACCATCACAAAAGTGAAATTTGTTAGGGAGACGAGAAGTGCGATTAGAAGGCCGAGCAGGTGTGATTATCTATGATTTGCTGAGTGGCATGTTTCATAGCCTGAACAAATATAATTAATAAAATTTATGTGAAGAAAGAAGTCAAAGATGAACATGCAAATGCAATCAACTTTTGTCTCTATACATTACTAGCTTCTGTAAGACGTTCACCAGCAGCATTCTTCAATCTCCAATCGTACAGATCGGGTTTTTCTCTTGCGACAGTATTTCAGTTTCCGGATGCTTACATTTTTATGAAACAAAAAGAAACAAAGCAAGGTACATTTGTGTGACTTGAAGCATTTACCGCTACGCGGCTAAAGTTCGGCACACCTCTGTCTCGGATACATGTTCGCCTACGTCACGTAAAGCCTAAAATCCACGGCAAGTTTATAGCAACTAGCAAGAGCACTCGCCTGACATCCTGTCCTTTAGCAAATTCATCTATTTTGACAGAAGCCGTGAATACTGCTTAACAAATATAAATTGGAGTGCTAATCAGGGTCGGGCACAATCGTATGCAGAAGAGCTGGACTTCGTTTCTGGGACGAAAAAACTAAGAGGATATCGCTTCGCGTTATTTGCTTGTCCTCGCCGGCTCCCAATCGAGTCAGTTTTGTTGACAAATATGACTGAAGGCGCAAAATGGTGAGTCTTGTCAAGAAAAACAGCGAGACAAATACTGAGCCTTTGAAAACTACAAAATGATGCATTAAATTGGTCATTAAGTGTTGAGAAGACTGAACACAATTGAAAGAAGCTGTTTCAACAGTTCTGATTCCCACGAAATAACAGGCAAAATGAATACGAGGAGTGAGAGTTTCACTAATAGGATTGACAAAAAAGCTGAGAGCGATGAAGTCCTGAATTTCCTAAAAATATATAGTACTAACCGGCGGTCCCGGTTTCACTCGGGACTCCACTTTAGCTAAGAAGAAGTTACTTATACTTACCTTTTGAGCTTCTTCTGTGCAAAAAGGGCTTTGGAACGAATTGCCCGCATCTTCCCGACATTGAGATAAAAATGAGCTTTACCATTCCATAACATGATCATGGCAAAATGATTGGTTAGAGCATGTCAAACCTCATTTTCTCAGATGTAAGTAAACAAATCAACAAATCAATAGAAGGGTCCAGTAATTCGCCTCGAAAAGTGGCCCATGTACTGCGCCGGGGTCGAAAACATAAGCATGCAAAGTTTCAGCTCATTTGGTCCACTCAAGATTTGTATAAAAAACATACTTATTAACACACAAACACACTTTGAGTTATATATATATATATAAATGAATGAGCTCATTGAAAGCGAGAAGGCTAACCATTTTAAACAGAAGCTTATCTCTGAATCTCCACGCTATATACGAAGCTCCGCAGTTCACAACAAAAACTGGTTTGGCATTCAGTAGCCACTGCTAGTCAGTAGTTTGGCAGTATCTAAAGGGCCACCATGTACCTTCCCCTCCAGGGACGTCGAATACAATACGCCAAAGAACATTATTTAATGAGATCTTACAATCTGAATAAATGCTTTGAAAAAATTTGGCATGAGAGCAGGAAGGAAGACAGTCTGTTTGACAAATTGGCTCTACGAGATCATCAATATTGTCCCACGTAACTTCTGTCTATTCCGTGTTATTGTCTTATAGCTTCCACAAAGTCCTAGAAGGATACAGGTAACAAATGAGTCCTACTCCTGCTGAAATGGATGCCTTACAGTTGTCTCAAGAAGCAAATTTGTGTTTCTTTTCATTGGCAAAACTTGCCCGAGCAGCAGCAGCTATAGCTGCTGCGGTATCAGGCTGTTTAATGACTGTTGCAATACTTGCGGCGTACGGCGGCTGAATGAATAGGTAACGAATTCAGCTTGCCGCGTACGTCATCTTCAACCATCAGACCTATAATTTTGGCTACTTTCCGACAGTACAGGTTTTTAAACGGTAAAAGTTTTGTTTCTTTCATCTCAGTCGATATTTCGCTAAATAGTGAATCATGATGCAGAGATGGTGTAAGAAAAGTGTAAGTTATAGTGATGCATACCTTATTCGGTGATGTCTTTGCTCTTGCACTCTCTGAAGGAGTTTTCTTTTGGAGAAAAAGCAGTCCAAATCTGCCTTGATTCGCGGTTGAATCAAGGCAGATTTGGAATCAAGGTTTTAGGCACTCCAAGACAGTATATAGGCATAAGTCTACTGTCTAACGTATCTTTCTGGTCCTGCAGCTTAAGTTTGGAGCAAGGAGTGGCAGCAAACGGTAAATGATTGCAAATTGATGCGGCACTGCGAAATGACATGCGACAAAAGCTTCGCGCGGTTCATTTTTGAAGTGGCTAAATCGCATTTTCAAGGGAGCTCCGTTTGCTGCAAGACACAAAGGACTACAAAAGCTGATGGGGAAACGAGCATTTCCTACTTTGAAACTTATGTAAAAAAACTTATGTAAACCCTTCTTGTGTAGTTATAGCATGAAGATTTACTGCATGGTGTCAAAGCCATAGATTTGGCTATTATTCGATCCGTAGAAATTATTAGGAAGCTGATCACAAATATTCTGTTCTTTTTACAAGAAAGCGCGATTCCTGAGGTTACAAATATATGGTCGACCGGATCGGATGAAAACCTCAAATCCGTCAAAGCTAAGCTAGTATATCATCTACTCAAAGCGCAACAAATGACTGTTTCAGGCACTCCGGGATCATTATCGTGATCAGGATGCCAAATAAGCCCAGTGCACGTGTTCTGAGCAAATCTGACTCACTTACTGTAAAGACCTTGTTTATACAGAAAGGGGTTTTTGTGCAAGAACAGGGTTATAATTGTGGTCACATTGCCTGTTAATCCCCAAAGACCAAATTTCAGAGAAATCCATGACTTTGAAATTTTGAGGCTATTCACAATTTGCTTTTACGCATAAGACCAGTGTAAAACACAACATTTTAAATAAGTTCTTCATAAATAAGACTCGGAATCAACAGAAAAAGTCGGTCCCCAACTTTCCTAGTTCTACACATGGCGTAGCACGATATTTTACCGAGCGCGACTTCGCGGTCCAAAACGTGTTAATTGGCCACCTCGGCAGGGGCGCAGGGGTTATATTTCTCAAGGATTTTAGCACTCCTTAAAGATCGATAGATATGGGAAACACAATCGCCAGTAATGGCAACTGGCGATTGTCATTCGTAACGATTGGCAGCCGCCAGTCAGGGATCGCCAGTTTTGACGACCACACACTGGATACACGTCGATTGGACAAGTTAAGACATCAGCAGTCGATAGCTATCTAAAGTGCAGTCGCCATAGCTGGCGGCCACCAGCATTAGCGACTGGCGATCGCCAGTTTTCGACGACTACGCGTTTGTTACGCAACGATATGACGTGTGGCAACTTGTTCGCGATCAATTGCTAGTAGCAGCGACGAGCGATCGCCAATATCGGCGACGAAATTGGCCGGTTTACCACTGATGATTTGATGCATACTCCTCGAGGAGTATAGCGCCTGCCTTCGACTGCCCATCCTTCTCTTGTCAGTTTCCTGAAAACATTTTTTTGTTTTCCCGCCTTCAAGATTACAGCAGTTATGTCGTATCCACGTCTACTTCAGTGGAAGATCATGAATAAAGGCAACTCCATGGCAAAGACGGACAACTATACTTGCAAAGCACGCGCGAATCCAGCAATCGAGCATATCATCGTTGGAGCGCAACGCCCTAGGGATAACCGCTTTTGACTGGACAAGCAAACCAACCTATTTTCAGCGGTGGTTGTTCTACCTTTAAGACATTGTTTTTTAATACGATCAAGAAGATTATTAAAAATGAAAAGGAATTAAGGAAGAGTTTGCTTTCCTCGTTATCCTCATAGCTGACTTACTATGGCGCTAATTGCCTACGAAATGATCACGGCTGTTGCGACAAATAATAGAGAAGCAAGCAATTTGAAAACAGTCGAATTCATCAAATTTTTGTGGTGTGAAAGATCCCTAAGTGAGAGTGGCTCTCCGAAACTCTCACACTTTCCGGCCTTCCTAATTTGCGGAAAAATTTTCTTAGTTGAGCCTGGTGATAACGCACAGTGTGCATACAATACCGCTCGCATTTTTTGAAAAATAGACCCGAATGTATGGACATGTATGGACATGTACGGACATGTCCGTACATGTATGGACATGTCGCTACATGTATGGACATGTAGCGACATGTCCATACATGTCAATACATGTATGGACATCACCGTCGCGTGGCCATATCTCGCTTCAGAGTGGACGAATTCTGAATCCAAAGCCACCATTCGATTCAGCTCGGCGTGGAGAATCTTCTGATTTCTTGGAAGTGGGGGTACAATGTCTTCAATATTCCGTTTCCAGTTTTTTCAATTTGTTCTGCGGAGGTCCTTTCGCGAACCTACCCAACATAGAAGACTTTACTAGGTACTATTCGATAATACTGTTCTTGTAGATTACTGTGCGCTAAAAATAGGCTCAGACTTCTTTCCAAAGGAGATAGAAGCGTTGGTGAATTTTGGAAAAATCACGCGTTTTTAAATTCTACTCGCCATAACTTCCTTCGGAATGAGTATATTTTAATTCCAAAAACAGCGCCTTGCTCAGCTCATCAGGCTTTTGCCAGAGTGCCGAAGCCATGCCAGCGCTACGCCAGCGCCGAGCCAGCGTTTCGATCGATACACGTGCATTTCGTTGGGGCGGGGCTAGCTGACCTTGTTCTCAGCAGGTAGATGTCCCCAATGAAATACGCGTGTATCTATCGAAACGCTGGCTCGGCGCTGGCGTAGCGCTGGCATGGCTTCGGCACTCTGGTGGGAGCCTCAAGGCGAATCGTCTCATATACAGAATGCCCTTGATATTTCGATTTCAGTATTCTTGAATCTCTCTGAGGACGTCTTTTCGCGAAGGTGTAAAGCAGCGAGCATTGTCCCGAGTACATTCCAGCAAGGGTCTTTCGATAGCACTTTTTTTTGTAGATTATGATGTGCTAAATAGTAGCCGCAGGTTTATTTTCAAAGGATATAGTACGGCTGATGAAT